GGAATTCTATGTAAGAAGTGGGAAATAGTAAGAGCTGGAGGGGACGGGAACTCCACAAGGAGAGCAACAGAACAAGATAATTTGAACACAGGGAACTTCCCAGAGACTCATACTCCAACCAAGGACTATTCGTGGAGATGACCTGGAACCCCTGCACAGGTGTAGCCCATGGCAGTTCAGTGTCCAAGTGGGTTACATAGTAATGGGAAGAGGGACTGCCTCTGACATAATCTGATTGGCCTGCTCGTTGATCACTTCCCCCTGAGGGGGGAGCAGCCTTACCAGGCCACAGTAGAGGACAATGCAGCCACTTTTGATGAGAACTGATAGACTAAGATCAGAAAGGAGAGGAGAACCTCCCCTATCAGTGGACTTGGGGAGTGGCATGCATGCAGAAAGGGGAGGGAGGGATCGGGAGGGGAGGAGGAAGGGGCTTATGGGGGGATACAAAATGAATAAAGTGTAATTAATAAAAAATTTAAAAAGACATATTGCAGGTCTACCACACAATCCTATGGGACAAGCAGTTGTTGAAAGATCTAATCATCCCTTAAAAGAGATGCTCTGCAAACAAAGATGGGTTTCAAAGACTCCCGGAGGTAGGTTACGTAGTGCTTCGTTGACTTAAAATGTCTTCAGTGCTTGTTGGAGGTTGGTCTAATGCTAATTACTGGCCCTCAAGATCGGTTATTGCCAGCCGGATACACCCAACCTTGTTTGTGTAGACCTGCCTAAAACGTTAGACCGGAGAGGTTAATTAGACAGCCTATACCCGGGCAGGCAGAATAGGGTAGGCATGGCTAAGGTTCCCGGGCTTGGGAAAATCCCAAAAGAATCACGGGAAAGAAATGCATAGGAAGAGAGGAAGAAGGAGGACACCGCGATGGGTTAGCCTGGAGAAGAAACCATGAGGGGCCAGGAGGAAGGACTCCAATAATGGTATAAAAAGGCCCAGATGAAGAACACAAGCAAGTATTTATAAGATTATGGATGGAAGATAGGATGGTTAAGGAGGATGGCATTGGATGAGGGTTGGGAGGTGAATGGTGATTTAGGACTGTCTGCCCCACCCAAGGTAAATAAGGTAATTATAAAATCTAACAGGTGTCTGTGTCTTATTATTTGTGATAACAGGTTAAATAATACTGCCATGATAATCTTAGGGATAATAATAAACTATGTATAGCCCAACACACTAGTTTTTAATTTACAACAACAAATACTAATGAACAAAAAACAATGACTGCTGAGAGATATTGGACTATAGAAAAAACTGCTGAATTAGATCAGCCTGTTTATTTCAAGAATATCCTAACCTAAAAATGGAGAACAGGAAATGTGTTAAGGGGGCATATATCTATACAGGAAAAGAGAAATTATGGGTTCCAGAAAAGCTGATCAAAATAAGATATGACTGAGGAAGACCCCCCTGAAGATCTTGGACACATACACAAGAGGACAGAAATCAAAAAGACCAAACAGAATAGGTAATACAAATTGTTGTTACCTCCACATGGAAAGAACTCTGAGAAATAGGGCTCCCGTGAGGAGAGCTGATGCCAAATGGCATTTTGGCCTAAACAGGATATTTGACCCAAAGTTAGGCAGGGAGGCAAGCATGCAAGCTATGTGCCTCTCACAGCCAAAGGCTATTAAATGCTAACCGAGGTGAGACGTCACGCTGCTCTGGGCAGTTGGCTTATCCCTATACATATGAGGTGCTCTCAAGGGGAACAGGTGGCAATTCAGCCTGGTGCAGAGGGACACAGGGGACCTCCCAAAACACAAAGGCATATCTAAGAAGGGCGAAGACAGCCACAACAAATACAAATGTAGAAACCCAGGTACAAAGTGCCTAGGGTGTGCTTGAACACTAAAGATTAAAAAAAAAAAAAGTTAGTTTAAATAAAGGTGATTGTAAAGGCATTGCCTCTTCTGTTGCTCTGGGCAACCAGCTTATCCCTCTACACGTGAGACACCCTTGAGGAGGACAGGTGGCAGTTTGGCCTGATGCAACAGGTGCCCAGGAGCTCAGAGGAGGATATTTGGATCTATACAATCTTGTTTTGATTTTCAACATAAAAAATGATTATATGTTCAATGGTAAGGGTGATATTATACATCCTCTTTGCGAGAGGTTACAATGGAACAGACCTAGGTAAAAGAGAGACTGCTAAATTAAATCAGTCTATACTTACATAATTCAAACTACAGAGCAAGCAGGTAACATAATTGCTGATCCCTCCACGTGGAAATAGCTCTAAGACATACTGAAACATAAAAATGTCTCCAGCCAGAACTTCAAGTATACATGGCCAATAAATCCTTGGCTGCAATATTCTTAAAGCGTATCATGCCATTCTTTTAAATGGCATAGATATAACTGGTTTACAATCCAGACTGCCTTATAGAAAAAATGTCTCCTTTTCTGCTCATACAAAGAGAAAAAAAAAAAATCTGTACTTGATCTTTGCATACTGCACAGGTCACACATTTATAATCTCAGTTTCGTATAATACTTGTGAGAAAGTATATGAACAAAAGAACCAGAAACTGGTGATGCTGGATCAAATCTGACAAGATTCATCCTCCAGAATGCTGAGATGCTGACACATTTATTCCAACATCCTATATGTTCCAGCCACAGCTGCTTCAGTTGTTCTTCATTCAAGACCTGCTCCCAGGACAGCTTCAAAGAAAGCTGCTGATCTCAATTGGTCAAGCATTTCAGACTGTTCCAAAACACCAACAAACAAACAAAAAAACCCAAAACAAAGAAACAATAAAACTTCTATTAAGCCTGAAGTTTCTCAACATTTAGAGACTAGACCACAAATGTTATTGTTAGCTTGCTTACCTGTTTTTCCTAATTTTATCTAGGCCCCCCAAAAGGGTATCCTATGCCCCAATGTCAGCAGAAAGCAACCTCGAGAAGAACAACATCCCATTTCCCTTAAGGTGGGGTGGGGCTAGAATTTGGGTTGTTTTCTTGGGTAATGGACGCTCGTCGTTACTAGTTAGGGGAATTGGTTACAAGTTATTAATGGTCTATTCAAAGAGAAAGCAAGGTTAGACTCAGGGATTTCTCTCTTTTCCTTTTCTGTTTTCTTTGTCTTTCTTCTTAGGTAAGGGGAAAGGGATTTAAAGGAAAGAAGGGGGAAATAAAAAATATCTAGAAATGATAGGACAAAAGGTAGATTACTAAATCTACTCTTCAACTTAAAGCTTTGTTATTGTCAAATAAGTTTGTTTTTAATTTGTTGATATGGAATTTTGTATACAAAAAAGTTCATGCTTGATACACTGGTACAGAATTCAAACTTAAGGTTATCTTTGATACACACACACACACACACACACACACACATATATATAATGTTTTTACTCTGAAATGAGATATTGTATCTATACAACTCATTTGTAAATACAAGGTTTACTTCCAGTACTTTTAAAACTGCAGCTGCAGGTTGTTTAGGATATTAGGTAATGCAAGTTAATTGTTAGTTGATCAACTCATGGTAATGTCAGATACTAATCTATCACAGAAATATGCTTCCTAGGTATAATAGATAGAGATATGTGATTCAATGGATGGATGGATAGATAGATAGTTAGATAGATAGATAGATAGATAGATAGATAGATAGATAGATAGATAGGTAAAAATAAAATAGAGGTCTTCGAATGCAGGATATGGCATTTAAAGATGTTTTTTTATTATTTTAAGGATTCTTTGACAACAATACAGGTCAACTCCTGGCAGCACCTAGCCTACCTCAAAGAAGCTAATGAGCATCGAAGAACCTCCACATGGAGATGGCTTCATATGTGGCAAGTTAGCAATCAGGACAAAAAATAAATGCCCTCATTTCTACCACAGACAGAATTCTGCCTAAAATGGGCAAGCTTAGATGCAGGCCAGGTTGACTGCCGAACACTGTCAAGACAGGGTTAGCAAGTCCTTCCTATTTCCTGCTTCACGAATGTCTGTCAGATATACTGGGCCAGGAGGCTGAAGATGATGCTCCAACCTTGTAGAGTTTTTGGTGTCTCTCCAGGCGGCACACTGTCTCTATCTTTTTTTTTTTTTTTTTAATTTTGAAAGCTGCTAGCCTGCACTTCTTGTTTGCTCAGGTAATTAATTTTATTCCTTATCAAGTCTCTGATGGGGTTGAATACTAGATAGTTATAGTTTTACAATTAAACTTAGTTGCTTAGGAGTTAAAAAGATGTTTTAGGTCTAGACAGATGTTTTTTTAGGTTGATAGATACAAGATATATAATAGGGAACAATTTAGGTACAAAACTTCAGGCTCACCAACATAGGTAAATAATATTTTCTTCAAAGTTGCCAAATACCTTTTGACTAGAGATAATGTATGTAAGTCTTACCTATTGGTTCTTATGATTGTTCATAACTGTTCTTACTGTATATACTTTAAAAACAGTCTTTTTAATGAGACGGAAAGGGGGAGATGTTGGAGGAAGGCCCAACTGTGTTTTCAAATGCTAATTTTAGTGCCTTGAGATCTGGTCACCACTCTGCCATGGGCATTGCTATGAATGTGATGATAAGAAATGTTCCCCGATTATCCCAGATTGGCTCATAATAATAATAAAGATGCTGAAGCCTATGACTGGGTGGAAGAGAGGGAGGCAGAGTTTTAGGTACCCAGGCTTGGGGGTGAGAAGAAGTAGCCCAAGTTGACCTCAGTCTCTCCATCCTCCTGCCTCAGCCTAAGTGCTGGGATTGCAGGATGTGCTAAATGCTATTTCTGTGCTTGAGAGGAAGAGGAGAAAAGCAATCAAAAACAGACAAAAACACCTGGCTGTTCCTTAAAAATGTGGAAGTTTGGCTCTGTGTGCACTATTCTTTCACTCTCCTCTGTGGCCTCAATTCCAAAAGATTCTGACCTCACCCCCCACCCCCCAATAAAACATAAACTCTGAGCATTTCCATCAGAAACATAGGGTGTGTTTCAGAATGCTTGACTAGTTACCAGCTGCTCATCCAGTCCAAAAAGTTGTTCCAAGAAAGTTTCAGACAGTCTTCGAATTTTTGGTCTCAGGGATGGACTGATGAACATATCCCTTGAATAAAATCACAAAGCAAGGTCAAGATTAATTCCATTTTGAAGTAATTCTATAACTGACCCACTGATTCTCCCAGAGAGGAAGGGATTTCTTGAGGAGGCAGGTCAGAATCACCTCTCTAAGAATTTGCTGAGTTCCCAAAGGTCCTGTGTTACCCTTTTCTCCTCCTCACCTTGAAACTCTTTGTCCTAAGATTCCAAATGGGAGTTCACTGTGTTTCTCACGCTGATAATCAGTGAGCACATTATTCACATTAAGTCTCAGGGACCTACCACCCTATGGAAGGATTCCTTAACAAGCCCCAGATTTGAAACATTCATTGTCAAGACCCTATCAGGATACTATACAAAGTTCTTGACCTCCAAAATATTTCCCCATCATACATCAAAACAACACTTACCAAAGAAGGTTTTCCAGACCATTTCCAATGATAATTATAATCATTTGTTCTAAATACCTCAGCGGGTCCTCGGGACATGTCATAAGTAAACCACATAACAGCGCCTGTTAAAAGAAAAGAATAAGAAAATGGAATCGGTGCTTCTGCGTCCACAAGCTTTTATCTCATTTTTTTTTATTGACTACGTAAACATGCTGCTACTGTCAAAAATAGTTATAATGCTTACATTTAGAATGAAGAGTCAGATGGTAGTAGTAATCCCAGGGAGGCGGAGGCAGGCAAATTTCTGTGAGTTTGAAGCCAGCCTGGTCTACAGGAGTCCAGGGCAGCCAAGGCTACACAGAGAAAGCCTATCTCAAAATCGAAACAAACAAACAAACAAAAACCACAAAACAAAAGAATGGGGACCATTTTTTTTTTTAATTAAAAAAATTCTCAAGCCAAAACTTAAGGCAACCGATTAAATCCATAGTCAAAATCTACTATGGAGATAAATGTAGTCTTCACCTCTCACTGAAGAAACTTCTCTTCAGTGTAGGCCACTACAGAAGACCCCAACCAATCAACCTGCAGAGCTGTGGAGCCCAGTCCCAATGGATACGTGCACAAAACACTTCTGCACCTAGGGCTCAGGGAACGTTGCAGAAGAGGAGCAAAAAGACTGTAAGAGCCAAAGGATGAGGACGATTTCTGTGAGTGTGTGTCTCCTAGTAACGTCAGAAGCTACACTCACACAGCCTCATGATTGTCTAACACGAGCCGAACAAAGACCACACCAAACAGACATGGAGGAATATCTGTTCTGACTGAATCCTGTATAATGAAATATCTCCTTCGAAACGCCTCCATCCTCTCTCAGTGTGCAGCCAGTTAGGAGCCTACAGGCAGGATAAAGGCAAAGTGCCTCAGGCTTAGAGACTCCCTCTCTAGCTCCTTTTGCAAATAAGATAATAAATATAAGTGACAGGTGAAAACAAAGAAGTTTTTAATGTACAATGCAGCAGAAAGGGCCAAAACTACCACCCAGTAGCACATTTTAAAATCCTCGGATTATCTTCTTTTCCTATGGCAGGATCATGCACCTTTCCCAAACTCTAGAAACAGAAGAAGGGCATGTAACTGAGTAGAGTTCTCAAATGGAAAAAACACAGGGCTAGAGAGATGAGTTAGCAGTTGAGGGCACCCTACTCTATAAAGATCCAGATTTGCTTTCCAGCACTCACATGACAACTTAGGAATTCTGGCATCTCCAGCTCCAGGGGATATAACCTACTTTTACAGCCTTGGTAAGGACCAGGCACATACATATGTTTGGGTAAAACACCCATATCCAGAAAAAATAAATCTTTTTTTTTTTTTTTAAGAAAATGGACCACAACGTTTTAGACTCCTGGTCCGGCCCCTCCCCAGCCTCTCTTAGAAGAAGCTCAGCTACTTGAAGCCTAAATATGGCTGCACAAGAGTCCCATGGTTCCCACCTCTGCTGAAAGCTAGATTTTAAAGGTGGCAATTACCTAAAAGACAGCAAGGGACCTGATAACAGGGCCAGATTTTTCCACTACGTCTGCTTCCTGAATGGCTCTGCAAACTCATCTGTCTCTGTCACTTTGCTATGTGGGTCTACAGAGCCCAGAGGCTTCCATTTTCCCCACTCTACAGCCCATCCCCTCCTCCCTATTCTGGTGTCTAGAGGGCATTTACCTCAGAAGAATTGGGATGGCAACCTGCTTTCTCGGGCTTCTATATTCTTAGCAAACTCCTTGAGAAATTCCCATGTACACGAAAGTCTGGGAGTTAGTGCCTTACTGGAGTTTAGTTTTATTATCATTAAGAAAGTTAGGGGTCAGGTTAAGAAATATCAGAAAGTGCATGCTGCTTTGTATTTCCGAGCTCTACAGATCAAAAAAGCTGCTTTCCCAAAAACTTACCCAGCAGAAGCCTAGTCAGGTTGAGAGCTATGTCACCGAAATGTGGATAAAGGCATATGGAGCAAATGTCAATAAAGGCAGGGTTGGAAAGTTTACTTTTGGCAAAGAAATACCACGCTGCTCACTTGTTCCTAATGGACAAAATAACACAGCGTGCAGGACACGTGGACGAGCGGGTGCTGCACAGCCGTATGCCAGCGAGGCAGTGCGAACAGCGAGTAAATAGCTCCCATTTGCCTGTTCTGAAGTGCCAGGGATGGAACCCGGGGCCTCGGACACGCTAAGCAAGGAGCCCAGAGCTAACTTCTTAATAGCTACTTTCTGCTCGAGGAAAAGGGCTGCAGAGACAGCTCAGCAGACACGAGCACCTGCTGTACAAGAATGAGGGTTATCTCTGTCCCTGTTTCCCTAAGTGGAGTAATGAAGGTATGTATGTCACAGGACCCTCGTGAGGACTAAATGCATCAAAATATGAAATCCGCCTTGGATTGCACGTAGAGCAGAAAATAAGCACTCAGATAATGCAGCAAGTGCTAACAGGCATCTTTGCCTCCTCCTTTGCTGATCACTGCCTCCACTAAAGGAAAAGGCCTAAGAGAGAAACTCAGAATATTCCCTTCTACAGTTGAAAGTGCAGTGTGAGAGAGACGCTGAAGGACTGACTGCATACCAAGCTAAGTGGAAGTTAGAAGCCAAAAACATATGTAGGGGGAAAATGGCAAGGAAAAAAGAATGTCCTTGAACAACAGTTCAGACAGAAACAGCAAAGTTCTTAACTGCCTAATAAGGCTGTGGGGTGAGGTGGGCAGGGTAGGAGCAGAAACAGACTGGCTTGTGGAAATAAATTACGTTTATTGTGTCAGACACCCTGTCAGCACGGTAAATATGTGAACTGTCTCAATAGTAATATAAAAACAACTGCTCTGAGGGCGCAGCGATCGAAGCAGTTCTTGAATGCTTACCTGGCCCATTCGTTAGAGAAGCTTCCAAGGGGCATGAAGAGAGAGGTAGGTACAGGTGGGAAAGCAGGAAGAGCCAAGCCCACAGCACACGGTCACCTGCGGCTATGATGGAGGCAGGGAGCAGTAGACAGCGTCACCCCGTGAAGACCAAGGAACTCTCCTCCAGACCCCCTCGATCACTGTCTCGGTTCCTCTTCTGCTGCCCTCATAGACTAACACAGACTGGGTTACAAGGTCCTTACAGATTACCGTCTGGAGGCCGGGAAGTCCTAGAGCACCGTGCCAGCTCTTGGCGAGGCCCTTTGCGCTGAATTGCAACGTGGGCCAGGCTAGAGAGGGCTGCGGAAGCTAAATCTAACAACCTGTGCTGTGATAACCCGATCACTCCTTCCTGTGAGGTCAGCAGCAGTCTGCCCATCAGATGACCCCTGGCCATAGCTGCTGTGAGAAGTCCCGCTCCCTCTGCTCACTGCTACATTGGGAGTTTCTAACACGTGAGCCTTGTGGGGACACATTCCAGCCTGAGTCACTTGTGCTGACCATGGCCTTGGGCTCCTTGCCCATACCATGTACTCACACAAAAGTGTGCACTGTGTGGCTTCTTACAGGACGGCAGACGGGAGGGCTCGTGGTATCTAAATGTCTTGGTCATATATAAACACAGAAACATGTCTTTTAAACAAACAATAGAACAAACAGTATAGATGTCTACAGCCTTTGAAAAGGAAAAGGAATGAAAAAGAAAAAAGGAGGTTGCTTTAAAAAGAACAGGTGCCATGAGAGAACCACAGTTCTAGAAAGCCCTTTACTCTAGAACCATTTTGTTTTGTTTTTTACTAAATCTAAACATTGTCCAAAACTTCTCCCATCCTTTCCCCAAACCCCATGCAACAAGCCAAAGAGTGGTCTCCCGACACTGAGGTGGACATGGAGCCTGTTACAGCTTTGCCCCATCAGGAATTTCACTTAAAAAATTAATCACAGAGTTTTAGGTTACTTAATTTGCAAACAAATCCCTTCTACTTCTGACATTGATTCCACTGCAATTATCTTCAGTCATCTTGGCTCAAAATTGGACTAGACCAGAACCTCAAAGATGCAAAGACATATTAGCTCGTCTTTCCCTGCCAGCCTTGCCAAAGCCAAGCTAGATAACTTGAAGGGAAGAAACAGGACTGGCCTCGGGGTCTATCTCCACAGCCCCATATATTCACAGGTTTTCAAAGGGGGCTCTGTCTAGAACAGCAAACAAAGAAGTACCATCTGCCAAAGGATCTCGACAGAATGAACCTTTTAAAAATGAAAGAGATGGTCCTGGCCCACAGTGCTAGCTCTGAACGGCTCACAGACAAGGGAGGTTGGCAGGACTGAAATAGCCTACAGGTAGAGCCGTGGCCAATCAAGAGAAGGTAGCACTTTTAAACTTTAGCAGCTTTATAAATAGAAGTGTCCTGAGATTATTAAAGGGAACCAAATGGTTTGGCCATGCAGAAGGAACCTTGGGACCAGCACTGGGGAGGGAGGTGTGTCTATCTGAGCCAGAGTCTGTCTATGTTATCCAGGCTGGTCTGAAAAGCCAGATCAAGTAAACCCTCCTGCCTGGGGTCTCCCAAGTTGCTGGGATTACAGGAATATGGCCACGCACAGCTCAGACTGGATGGCTTTACCTCACAGGCGAGGTTGGAAGAGACAGACAAACATTTGAACGTCTACCAGACCGCGCCACCAGTAGAGAAATAGATCATCATGTGTGCCTAATCCCTAAATAAAATAACCACTGGGGAAGTATTGAATTGGCAGCCATTTGTATCTTTAGTGTGAATTTCCCTTAGAACTAGTCTGTGAACTGACTGGCTGGGAAACTGAGCAAAGATTTTGCTACCTGCTACCCCCTATCCCCTCCCCACCCCCAACCTCCCAGCTACACACACACACCCAAAAAGGTATAATCTTTTACCTAAAGGACCAGCCAAATGTGTTAGCAAGGCAGCTACCCCCCTCCCAAATCTGCAAGCCGTCCCTTGCCACATACAACTTCCTGATTCTTGTATCTCTGAAAAGTGTTTATTCCAAGGCAGGGGTTTGCTATGTTCCCCTGGTTGGTCTCCTGGGTGCAAGCAATTTCCTTTTCTTTTTTAAATTAATTTATTCTCTCATCTATTACAACCCGACCTCAGTTGTCCCTCCCCTCCCTCCTCCCTCCCCATCCAGCCCTCTGCTTCCCTTCAGAAAAGGGTAGGTCTCCCAGGGTATCAGCCTTACAGTCATGATTTGTAACTAAAGCTCGCCCTCTGCTGGTAAGATCCAGTTTTGCATGCTTCTATTGTTTTCCTAGACATCAAATTTAAATCCAATCTCACAATTTGAAGTGTAGTTTCCTACTCTGATTCAATGCTAGGTTTGTGCATTTAATACTTTTGTAGACAGTGAATCCATAATACACAGCTCCTCTTTGGTCTCTCTCGAGCAGGTCTGTGAGTTGGTAGGTAACATACCTAGTTCTACCAAGTAGAAAGAGAAATACATAAACATGTCTAACTTTTTTAGTGTACCCAAGTCCTATCAACAGAGCATCATTGCATGGGCTCCTGTTTTAATAATTTGTTTAAATATATAAGCCTTTCAGAAATACCTCCAAAAGACAGATAGTAAGACACTCAGCCATTGTGCACAGTGTCTGCCTTGTGAGAGAAAAGATGCCTACAGTGAATGAGAAGAAAACTCAAGTATTCGTGCTTCCTACAATCCCTTGTATGTGCAGCCCCTAGGTATTGCCATTACACATTTTTTTAAGTTTGGAGTTTCTAAAACTATATAGTTTCTGAACCATACAATGATTTATACAGAGTAAACTCGCCCACATTTCTAATTATCTGATTATTTGCTTCACTTACTTAAAACATAAGACAAACACTTAAAAACTATCTAGCTCTGGTTTGAGGCGATAGCTCAGTGGGGTAAGCACTTGCCTCACAAGCCTGAGGGCCTGAGCTGGGATACCCAGGACCCACGGACAGCCAGGTTCAGCAGCACACACCCGGAATCCCAGCAGTCCTGGGACAGGGGCTGGAAACAGAGGAATCCCTGTCTCCAAACAAGGTGGGAGGCAAGAGCTCATACCCAAGCTTGTCCCATACACCCCACGGGACATATGCCACCCTCACACACATCAACACACACCGAGCATACTTTAAGATAGTTTCCACAGTCCTTTTTAAAGGATATTTACTAAATTTACATGTTCCTATCTTTGTGTAGACAACATTCTTTGATGGCAAGAACATCTCATAAGATTCTAAGGATGGGAGACACGAATATTTTCGTGCTTTCAATATTTATTTACTCATTGGTTTATTGATTTGTTTCCTTGCTGTGTGTCTGTATGGAGGTCAGAGAAAAACCTCTGACCTTAGTAAGGTACCCGAAGTTCATCTCTTGCCTACACAAGGCTGTATACATCCTAGTGCAAACACTCTAGTGTAAGACACTAGAGAGTAGTGAAATTCCACAAGGGTAAGCATCTTCCGTGATCTGACAAAGCTCAGCCCTCTCTCCCAGCTGTGGCTCTAGAATGAACACTGGGCTGAGTCCAAACAGAGGCTAGTCTACTAGGCATTGAAAGGGAACCCAGCCGGCTTTTGGTGGTTGCATGGGACTGAAAGAATAAGGAGGGCTCAAATGTGGCCATTGCTCAGTAATAAGTATGTCTGGGTCTAGGGTGTTCATGAAGAAGCTAGCTGGCAAAACTGCCTCTGAGAGGATGCTCATGGGAAGAAGGGAGGAAGCCTGGAGCTTAGCATCAACCCAGCTTCGTTGGCCTGGACTGAGGTCAGCTTTTCCAGCACAGGAACCCACAGGAACGTGTTGTGTAGAATGTCTACAGCTCTCTTTTACCTGCTATACAACAAATCACTCAGTATGTAGAGGGGAGGAGATACTGTACTCAACGGAAGAAGAGAAACAACAGACAACAAACCCGAACATGATTCAGATAATGAAGGAACCCCTGTTTCTGTTTTGTTTTGTTTTGTTTTGTTTTGTTTTGTTTTAGACGGCCTCTCTTCATAAGTTTCTTGATATGTAGCTCAGGCTGGCCTAAAAGCAATCCTCCTGTCCTAGCTTCCTGAGTCCTAGGATTAAAGACATGTGCCAACAGCTTTCCAGATAATGATTTTATAAAACAATCCTTAACATGTTAGAAAACAGGAAATGATAGCAAAATAGGTGAAAAGATATTTTCATAATTTTAAAAAGTGGAGTGCACCGAAAGGAATCAATGGGCATTTTAGGACTGAAAAATATATTGTCTACAATTAAGATTTCATTTAGTGTATTCAACAGATGGGTTGAGACATAACATAGAACAAAATTAGTGAAGTTAGCAATCCATTAAATTAATGAATGAAAAAGATACGAAAGTGCACCCCGAAGAAAAGACAGTTAACAGGACAAAGTTAAAATTTTAGAGAGAGAGAATTTCTTGTGTACTGTGTGGAAGCATCACCTGTCAATAAAAATCCTACAGTATGTTCGCTGAGGCAGAAAATAGGAGGTGGGAGTTCTGGCATAGATGAACTCTGGGATAGAGTCAGAGGGGGAGAGATTCACCCCAGACTCGGAGAAAGATGGACATATGAAACTGAGGAGAGGTAACCAGCCATTTGACACACAGAGAATAGAATAAACGGGTAAAATAAGTTGTGAGCTAGTTATAGAATGAGTCTAAGATTATGGGCTAGGCATTTATTCATAAATGATAAGGTCTCAGAGTCATTATTTTGGGAACCAGGGCATGGGTGGAAAACCCACGGTTATAATTTTATTATATTCATTATTGAATTCCTACAGGAGAAATGAATTATATAAAAATAATAAGTGATTGGGCCCAAAAGTAATGAAAATAAATGATCAATCAGAAGGTTCAATAAGCCTAGTATACCAGGTAGTTTTGTTGTTGGTTGGTTGGTTGGTTTTGGTTTTGTTTGTTTTGAGGTTTTGTTTGTTTGTTTGTTTGTTTGTTTGTTTTGACTACTACCATTACTAGGCCTGGGCTCAAGCAACCGTCAGCCTTAGTCTCCCTGTCAAGGGAAACTACATGTACCACTAGCATGAGGAGGCTTTTGGTTTGGGCTTTGGTTTTTCTTTCATCAGAACGTACACAAGTTTGTAGGGGAAATTATGTTGTAGGTGAAAAACTAGGCTTTACTTAAAACCCACAGGTGAGGTTCAGAAGAGGTTGGTCAAATACACATGGATGACTGCTGTAAAAGAGTATGTGCTACACAGACTTGCAGACAGCTTTTAGAAGAGTAAACAAACGTTCTAGAGAACTGAATCGGGTAGCTACATAAACTCAGAGAGGACTGGCAGGATGGAATTCACCTTGATGGACTCTGAGGGAAATTGAATGGGTGGGTCCCAAGATCTCTCTTGTACCTCCTGTGTGAGCAGAGGTGACTGAAGGGGGTGTTCTGAGGATAAAATCATGGGGTGTACCCTTATTTGATATATCGATAAATGCTTCCAAATTGCCATCCTAAAAGAAAGAGCTGTACCAATTTGCCCTGGATGTTGAATGGTGCTCCTCTCTCTTCCCCTAGAGTTCTCTCATTTTGCCATGATGGCAGCTGCTTGGAACTCCTATTTCATCACCCCAGGACACACACTGACTACTTACAGACAAGTAGGAGGCACTAGCAGTTTCTCAGCTCCCTAACCCCAGGAGCATAAAGCCTGGTATTCAGTACCATGCTTGTGCTCTTGAGGCAAAGCAGAATGGGGATATTATGGTGATTGTGGGGGAGGCTTGGAGAAGGAAGCCCTGCTCCTGTAGAACTAGCGTACTTTCCCTGCTCAAGAAGGACCTGAGACACCACTGATAGGGGCCTAACGGACCACAGAGGGAATATGTTTTTTCCAAACGGTATCCTGATAAAGACAGTAAGTAAATTGTGCCCAAGTAGGGCTAGATGACCTATTCTCAGACACGGCAATCAAGAATGCCACGGCCAGTAATCAGGCTGCGCTTCTATAAGGCCAAAATGACGGACATAACCTTGATTCCTGTCTTCCCCACTCCCAGAACTAAATGAAGCCACTCCTAAATCCACAGTACAACTTAAGTTACCGAGAGAAAAAGAAATTTCAGCTTTTAAACTAACCTTGTTACAATCTATACTCTTTGGGTAATGTCAGAAAAAAAGGGGGGGGGGTTTCTTGGCAACATTTAGAAATGTAACTTTGAAAGCCACAAGAAAACACACACACACACACACACACACACACACACCCATATCCGCATTGTGAAGACAATTAAACTCGACTGTGCAGACGCTCCCTATTGCGCGATCAGATGTATTTTACTCTCTCTGCACCTTTGCTTCTGCTTTTAATAAATCCAGCTTTGCTGCATTCCGGTTGGCCCTGAAATCCATTTCTTTGTTGAAACCAAGACCCCAGGTTTTGCTTGGGTGGCGACCTCTAAAAAGGTGTAGTGTAAGGCTGTGTCCAGTGGCAGGTGGCTCTTCTTCCCTCCCCCTAAAAGGGAAGGGGCAGGTCTTACCCACAGAACCCCTGAAGCCTGTTTTCTTCAGGTGGCTCACTCTTCAGGAGCGCACACTCTTCTATTTTCCGTATGCCTGACACCTCTTCCCTCGTTTCCCTTCTCTAAACCTTAGAAGTTCACACTTGGGGATTCCAACCGGATCCTGTCACCTTTCTCCCTCACCTTCTTCTCATCCCCACCCCTGCTTCAGCCAACATCATCCTTCGGTCTTCTCCGACCTACCTCTCCCTCTCAAGTTACCCAAATTTGACTTCAACCTCTCCCATCCTGCTCCTTCCTAGCTCCAGCTCCGGGGAATCGTCCTGGCCTCTCCCCACACCCTCTGTGTGGGTGAGGCCGTGTGGCTCCGGTACCTCGCAGACTTGAGGGATATAGTTGTCCCTGAAGTAGTTCCTCAGCTTGGGGCTGGCATTGCGGAGTGAAGCCATGGTCACAAGCAGGACTGAGAAACTGTCCCTGGGCTACTGGTGTCCACGCTACGGAGGCGGGAGGCGTCGGGGCGTTGCCAGGCAACCCCGGAGGCGGAGCCGTACAGTCTCAGCTAGGGTGGAGATGGAAGGAAAGGCCTAGAGGAGGGGGCGGGGCAGAGTGGGAAGGGGGCGGGGCATATCTGCACCCCGGGGCGGTGCTAGGGGCGGGGCTCACACAGGACAGTCCCCGTCCTGGTCCAGGAAAAAGCTTGCACCAGCGGCAGCGACGCCTCCTGCAAGTCCCATCGCGGCCGCCGGGCGAGAGGCAGCGCGTCGGGTGGGAGGGCTTCCGACGTTAGCAGGGCGGCTTCCGGAAGGCGGAGCTCCAACCCCATTTCCTTTCTCCGGGCTGGTTCGGGCCCCGCTGCACCTGCGTGCGGTCCTTGCTCGGCGGCTCCCCGCAGCTCGGCGGTGGCATGGGCGGCGCGCGGGACGTGGGCTGGTTGGCGGCGGGGCTGGTCCTCGGCGCCGGCGCCTGCTACTGCATCTACCGGCTGACCCGGGGCCCGCGGCGAGGCCGGCGCCGCCTGCGCCCTTCGCGGTCTGCAGGTGAGGCGATGGGCTGCTCGGCAGGTGGACAGGTTCGGGGCCACCCCGGGCCGGGCTGAGCGGCTGGGCATGGTGCAGGGCGAGGAGGAAGGCTGGAGGTAAACGAGTCTGGGAGCCCAGGTTGCCTGCGGTGGGTCCTGAGCCGCCTCCCTGCTCCCACTTCTTTGTTTGAAAATAAGGGCTGAAAACATTGCCGGGAGTTTCCTGTTGCTTCCTTTCAGGCTTCACAGCCTTGGGCTGAGGTTTCTCCAAGCCATGTAGGTACCCTCTCACTTTCAAGTTTGTCCTGGGCCTTTGTGTTGTTTCCAAAGAGATGTCCCTTACTGTGAGAAGGTTACTCTGGGGCCTCAAACCTAGGTTGAAACTTTGCACGTGGCTGTGTGAAGAGGGGTTCTCGGAGGTGCACTTCGGCCTGCACTTCGCGAGACCTGTCCTGGGAAGGTACTTTTAATCATGCGTAGCATCTTGGAACTTGAGTGTCTGTGTTGGAAATAGAAACCTCAGCCTACAGAAGACACACCCTTCTGCCAAACAAGTCTAGTAGGTTCTGTCCTATGATGATTGGGACATTGGGAGGTCTAACAGTTTGCTGCACATTCTTATCTAAAAGGATCGCTTAAGTCGTGGAAACGGTTAGGAAAACAATTTGAAATAAAATCTGCCGACCAAAAACGTGCCTTCCTCAAAGGTAGAGAAGTGGGGGGTTTTTTGTGTTTTTTTTTTAACTGAGTAATCATTAAAACGTTTTACCAACACCAATACATGTGATCTGCTGATGTCATTCCAAACACAGAATTCTTACCTCTGTGTAGCTGTGCCAATGCGAAATAAACAGTAGCTTGTCTTTAAAATAAGAGGACATGACAATAATATGACAATAGTTTTCTACAACTAGGTCATCTCACAGTCACTGAGAGTTAGGCAGTTATTGGTTGGGAGCTAAGAGCCTTTCCCTAGAGGGAAAGTAAGGCACTTTTAAAGGCAGGTAGAAAAAAAAAAAGTCTTTGGGTTGTACAACTGGCATTTACTTTCCAAATTTGTGCTTCCTTGGAGGCACCAGGACCAACCATGAGTTTATATTGCAGCCTTCCATTTCCTTCAGGAAATGCTACAAGAAAAGGGAGTACACAGTCCCTTTCCCCGTGGTCACAGAGGAAAATAGTTTTTGAAGATGAGCATTTGCCCTCGCAAAGCCTGATTTGTTGTCTTTTCCTCTGCCACATATTTCTGTGCAATAACGTTTTGGTTTTTTTAAGGCAAAGGGTCTGATGTATTCCTGGCCTGGAACTCCCTGTGTAGCAGAAAAGGTCTTGTGATGGGCTTTTCTCCACCTCCCTAGTCCTGGGCTTGACAGCATGCAACACCACACTTTGGTACTGGGAATGGAACCCAAGTCAGACAACTTTAAAAATAGGTTGCCCACAGCCATTTCCCAAAGTTCTACCTTTATATTTGAAGAGAAACCTTTTATTTGTTTTAAACTTTTGAGAAATGTATAATTCCTGTTGATATAAGACTTGATAAAAGAACCTGCCAGATATAGTACAATTCTCAATCATGACTAGAGAAAATTTAGTGGATTGAGGAAATAATATACAGAGACCAGACAGACATATAAGGATAATTCATAGGTGTATATGTTATTTATTGCATTAATATATTTTTAAACTACATAGTAATGTGTAAGTCATTAAAATAGTATTTCTGATAACTTGCAACATTTAGAAGGAAATGTTTTAAATTGATGGAGAACACGCATCAAAAACAAAAGGCAAAGGTACTTTAATTAAAGACGTTTAATATTAACAGTTGCATCTTTATTAAGTTCAAGAATAAGAGAGTTGATATCACAACTATTTAGTAGTGTCCTGGCGTCCCAGGCATTTTGACAGGAAAAAAAAAGTCATAAAAATCAGTAAGTATTAAAAAGAAATGAAGAAAATTCCAATTCATTAATGACTTATTTTGAGTCAGAAAAGTACGAGAGAATTAACTGGACATTAGAAGTGGAAGAAAAAAAAAACAATAAGCTGGAATACAACAGAAATACACTTAGTACATTCTTAGCTAAGCGCTGTGTACAGGAATTCAATATAAATTTAATTGAAAATATTTCATTCATAATAACTTTAAACACTCAGAACATATCCAGTAGGAAGCCACACAGTGACACACTGGAAACATAATTGGGCTGTTTCCATAGGTTTCCTGACTGATAAACTCTTTTTTTTTTAATAATTTATTTAATTTTATTTTACGTGTGAAGGTGTCAGATGCCTTGGAATTGGGGTTACAGACAGTTGTGAGCTGCCATGTGGATGGTGAGAATTGAACCTGGGTCCTTTTAGGAAGATCAGACGCTGCTCTTAACCACTGAGCCATCTCTCCAGTCCCGACTGATAGACTCTTAAAAGGATAATGAGTTTCACCCCTTTAGTGCAAAAACCTATTCCATAATTAATCAGTCCAATCAGATAGGTATACCTGATGTTTAAATTAAGAAACAAAATGCTGTTAGCATTAGGGGTACATGCCTCTTACATGTAATGCCTTACAATAGATACCATATGACTATTAGCTAATGTGATGGCTGTGAGCCTTTGCTTCTGACTTAAATTCAGAATAATAATTATATCTTCCTTCTAGGAATGCCTGAGAATCAAATGATATAAAACATGTAAAATGCTTTAAACAACGCCAGGCAGCCATCTGCAGAGCCTCTGACATCTGGCCTGCCCACTCAGAAGGGGCTTAACTTTTTCTTTTCCTTTTCCTTATGCTTTCAGACTGGCCAAAAGCCTAAGCATGCTTTCCCACATGCTGCACCTTCTCTCTCCTCAGCAGTTCCCTCCCTGTCCCACTTGCCAGCCGCCATTGCTGAAACTGCCTTTGCCCTTAAAGCCATGACCTTCTCTCTCTCTTCGCCATCTTCCTCCTCCCAGCAGATGTCCAGATGTGCAGCTTGCTTGCTCTGCAAAGCAAACATTACAAGAATTGTCCCTGAGCTTTAAAAACAAAAGTAACTGCCTAGCATGATAGTATGTGTTTAAACTTTTTAGATATTAAAACAAAACGCCTCAGTGATGAATTTCAATGAACCTTAGCTTGCTTTCTTCTCATGCAGAAGACTTAACTGATAGTTCCTATGATGATGTGTTAACTGCTGAACAGCTTGAGAAACTTCTGTACCTGCTGGAGTCAACTGATGATCCTATAATTATTGAGAAAGCCTTGGTCACCCTGGGAAATAATGCAGCCTTTTCAGCCAACCAAGTAAGCCTCCTTCTCGCTCACACAGGAGTAGCTGTGAACTGGTACTTCCTGCCCAGAGCTTCCATATCCTCATATGGCCAATTACGTTCAAAAATCACATCCAAAAAATGACACAGAAAGTGACCTGTGAGAAGCTAGACACTGGCATCGTATTCATAATAGTTCCTGTTCAAGAGAAAACAGAGGATGGCTGTGACTTAGAGCTGAGCGGTGCTTTCATGAAACCATGAAAGCACCCAGCATTTAAGTGTATGCTTCGATTAGATGACCGATCTTGCCAAAGTGGGGCCTGATGGTGGTGGTAGTGACAACCACCAAATCAGTGTAAACGGCTAATACCAAAGAGATTAATTTGAACACTTCTTTCTCCATTCCCCCCAAGAGAACAAGGGTTTTCTTTGTTGTTTGTTTGTTTGTTTGTTTCCCAAGACAGGGTTTCTCTGTAAAGCTCTGGCTGTCCTGGACTCTGTAGGCCAGGCTATCCTCACAGAGATCCACCTGCCTCATCGTCCCCAATGCTGGGATTATAGGTGTGCACCACCACGCATTGTTACCTTCAACAGTTTCAGAAGGGATGAAGTTGCTGGCCCCCAACTGATCCCAGCTGACCCAGAGAATAACATTTGTTTCTCAATCAACATCCATAAATCCTTAATGTCAACTTCTGTATTTGCTGCTTTCAGCAAATGACACATGCGTTGTTCTGGGTTAGCGGCGAGAGAAAGATTGTAACTTAAGATTGTAGCATTAGTTTAAGTTGTAAAAGGTGATTGCCAAGGCAGGGTTGGTTGTTACATTGTTAAAACAGGTGAAAACAAACAGTTTGAGTACACAGCAAGCTAGAAATCTTAAGTGACTCCCGAGTGTATATTGACTTTGGATATGAGGTCTAGCAAAAGTTCCAGTCTTAGAGTATAAGGGTTATTTCAGAATATTACATCTCTATACTTGGTTGAGTCCCGGCCAATGAAAGACCCATCTCAAAAGAAAAAAAAAAAAAAAGTGAATGGCATTTTGAGGAATGACAGCTGAGGTTGGCCTTTGCATACACATATATACACACAGATTTACATAAACCATTTTAAGTAAGGAAATTTGGTGACAGTAAGATTCGTATATGAGAAGGGCATTTCTCTAAAGTGATTAATCGTAGTTGCATTTCTAGATGTGTGGAATTCAGTAAAAGGGCTGCATGTTGAAGTCACGGTCCATTTTCCCCTCTCTCTTAGGCCATTATTCGTGAGTTGGGTGGTATCCCAATCGTTGGAAGCAAAATCAACTCTCTGAACCTCAGTATTAAAGAGAAAGCCTTAAATGCACTAAATAACCTGAGTGTGAATGTCGAAAACCAAGTTAAGATAAAGGTAAGTTGTGAGAAATAAAAGTGCATCAGGTGTCTATAACAGAAGAGAAGGGGATGCCAGGATAAGCCGTGAAGCCAGGAGCGTGTGCTCTGCAACTCTCCCCTAGGCATTTGGAGGTGGGTTTCAGTTTAACTCAGGGATTACTGAAAGAACAAAGCCAGAATCAAGGAACACACAGCAGCAGAAAGACTCAGTAAACCAAGAAACCAAGAGAGTGTTTTGAAACTGTTGAATAGAATATAGACACAAGCAGAATGGCACCGTTGATGTAAGAAAGCCGAGGAAGTGTGAGCCCTTCTAAAGTCAACGAGGGAAGAAACAAATCCACGGAAAGTAGGTAAAAGATGAAGAAGATAAGCAACTAATGTGAGCCAGTTGTCACATTCAAATGTCCAGGACACCTATCGATAGATTCCACCCTCACCATCAGCCAGGAAGGGACTTAATGCCGGTTTTTGAAGGATGAAGATACAATAAAATGGTAACCAAAGAGAAACACAGTTGGCTTGTAAGTGTAATTTAAAGCTTAAAAATTTGATCTCTGCTTCCTTATTGTTACCCTGCCTCATCTATGGTAGCATGGATACATTTGGAGTTTCCCACAACATTAATGATGTGGATTGGACAGTTAGTTGATAATTTCTTAGCACTTCCGATTAGGAACATTTTTTTGCACTTTATGATTTTTTTAAATTAATTTATTTTTTATTAAGTACAGTTTATTCACTTTGTATCCCAGCTGTAGCCCCCTCCCTCGTCCCCTCCCAATCCCACCTTCCTTCCCTCTTCTTCTCCTGTGCTCCTCCCCCAGTCCACTGACAGGGGAGGTCCTCCTCCCCTTCCCTCTGACCCTTATCTATCAGGTCTCATCAGGACTGGGCTGCATTGTCCTCCTCTGTGGACTGGTAAGTCTGCTACCTCCTCATGGGGAGGTGATCAAAGAGCCAGCCACTGAGTTCATGTCGGAGACAGTCCCTATTCCCCTTACTAGGGAACCCTCTTGGCTGCTATGGGCTACATCTGAGCAGGGGTTCTAGGTTATCTCCATGAATGTTCCTTGGTTGGAGTATCAGTCTCAGAAAAGACCCGTATGCCCATATTTTTTTATTCTGTTGGTCTCCTTGTGGAGCTCCTGTCCCCTCCAGCTCTTTCTATCTCTCCCTTTTATAATATTCCCTGCACTCTGCCCAAAGTTTGGCTGTGAGTCTCAGCATCTGCTTTGATATCCTGCTGGGTAGAGTCTTTCAGAGGCCCTCTGTGGTAGGTTCCTGTTTTTTTCCCTTTTGTCTCTCCCATTTGCCTTTCTGAATGAGGATTCATCATCTTACCCAGGATCCTCCTTCATTAGTTTCTGTAGGTGTACAGATTTTAGTATGTTTATCTTATATGTATAATATCTACTTATAAGTGATTATATACCATGTGTGTCTTTCTGCTTCTGGGATACCTCACTCAGGATGATCTTCTCTAGTTCCTACCATTTGATTTCCTTTTTTTTTTTTTTTTAGTTGGTGAGTAGTATTCCATTGTGTAAATGTACCACAATTTCTGTATCTATTCCACAATTGGGTTGTTTCCAGCTTCTGGTTATTACAAATACAGCTGCTATGAACATGGTTGAGCAAATGTCCTTGTTGTATACTTGAGCATCTTTTGGATATATGCCTAGGAGTGGTATAGATGGATCTTAATGAAGCGCTATTCCTAGTTGTCTGAGAAAGCGCCAGATTGATTTCCAGAGTGGTTGTTCAAGTTTACATTCCCACCAGCATTGGAGGAGGGTTCCCCTTTCTCCACATCCTCTCCAGCATGTGTTGTCAATTGAGTTTTTGATCTTAGGGTGTAAGGTAAAATCTCAGGGTTGTTTTGATTTGCATTTCCCTGATGACTAAGGACATTGAGCATTTTCTTAAGTGTTTCTCTACCATTCGATACTCCTCTATTGAGAATTCTCTGTTTAGCTCTGTACCCCAGTTTTTAATTGGATTACTTGATTTGTTGCACTTTATGATTTTTGATGGCACCGAGCCTGGAAACTCGCTGCTTTCCACCCACAAAGATTGATAGTGTGGAGCTGCTCACAAGCGTGCACCCTTCCTTATGTAAGGAAGCACAATCTTCAGCTAAATTTGTTTTTGTTCTGCCTTTGGTTCTCAGCACAATGCCAGGTTATTAACAAAGGCAGCCTTAAATAAAATAGTCACCAAGGCAGGAGGGCCAGACACAAACACCATCTTTTCCAAAGAACCCCTTCATCCTGAGCAGCCACACCACTCTGCTGCAGAGAAAGGTAGAGGTTCTTGGAGAGCCGGCGTTGCTCAGTCCCTCTCTCTTGCCCTCAGGTTTACGTCCATCAAGTCTGTGAGGATGTCTTCGCCGATCCCCTGGACTCTGCCGTGCAGCTGGCCGGCTTGAGACTTTTAACAAACATGACCGTCACCAATGACTACCAGCACCTGCTCAGCGGCTACGTCCCTGGCCTGTTCCACCTGCTACTTATTGGGAATGGAAGCACCAAGGTAGGAGCCACAGCCTTCAGTCTTGAAGGCTGAAGAGCCGCCACATCAAGTTTAGTAAGATTGAGCTTCCTGTCCGAGGCGGGGGATGGGGAGGACACACCTTTAATCCCAATGCTGTAAGATGCTGTAGGATTCAGAGGCGGCAGATTTCTGTGCGTTGGAGGTCTGCCTACTCTTCATAACGCGTTCCAGTGCAGAAAAACAAAGAGAAGGAATGCCAGACCATCTGTTTCAGCCCTGTGATTGACAAAGATTAAAGAAAAAGATAGTGGTACCTTAATCCCAGCAGAGGCATGTGAGTTCCCAGCCACCCTGATCTATTTAGCAAATCACAATAGGCAGGACTACATAAAGAAACACTATCAAAAAGAAAAAGAGATAGTCTGCTCACGAGTTTATAAGAAATGCTTATAAGATCCTAAGAAAGAATATCACTTCCATCCCTAATACCAAACTGCAGAATTCGTTTGTGCCAATCACATGCCGTGTCGCTGGCTTCAAGAGAGTGGCCACTTGATCTTCAGAGAATCAGTAAAGTCATGTTTTCCTGGGACCCCTGGGACCCTTTAACCAGACATAGGAAATAATTTAAAAAAAAAAAAAAAGAAAGAAATAGTGACAGGAAGTTGTAGCTTTTATTTACCCCAGGATTGACTAGTTTTTAAAATTAGCATAAAGTAATGGGTTTCATTGTTTTCATTTTTAATACAGTTTGTTTTATATATAGTTTGTTTGTTTTTTTTACTCCTCCCCCCAACCTTCTTCCACTTAACCCTGCCTGCCACTCATCCTTCTCCATTTTCATGTCACATGTAGTCTGTTGCCATCATCGTCGTCGTCGTTATAATTATGACACTTACTTATAGGAAGGGAGGCGCTTTGGTGCTTCAGTGCCCAGGGCGAGGTCAGATGACAACTTGACAACTGCAGAAGTCAGTTCTCTCCTTCCAACATGTCCCCGTGACTGAACTTTGGTTGTCAGGCCTGGTGGCCCTCTGCCCACTGAGCCTCTCAGCAACCCCGGTTTGTTTAATTCTTTTAAGAAAGTTTATAATAATAATTGTAATTATTATAACAATATTAGTATTAGGGTGTGTGCGTGTGTATGTATGTATTTATGGTGGAGGCGTGGCATGAGGCATATGTGGAAGTTAGAGGGCAGCTTTGTGGAATCAGTTTTCTCTTTCTGCCTTTGTGTAGTTTGCAGGGTTGAACTCAGGTCCCCAGGCTTGCACACGTGCCTAACCTCCTGAGCCTTTTCGCTGGCCCTTACTTGTCTGTTTTTGAGGCGTGGCCTCCTGCGTCTTAGGTGGGCCTCAGTCTCACTCTAGCAGAGGATGAGCTGGGATTACAGGCATCTTCATGTACATCTGCGTGACAGAAGAGGGCATCAGCTCCCATTATCGAAGGTTCGGAGCCACCACGTGGGTGCTGGGAATTGAACTCAGGACCTCTGGAAAAGCAGCTAGTACTCTTAACCCCTGAGCCATCTCTCCAGCCCCCCAGAGAGCAGCTTTGTAAGTCAGTTCTTTTCTTCTATTTTTACCTAGGTTTGGGGACTTGAACTCTGGTTTTACTACAAGGGCTTTTCCTGCTGAGCCTTGTAGCTGGGCCCAAGTTGGACTTTCTTTTTCTTTTCTTAAGTTTTTTTTTTTTTTTTTCTTGAAACAGTTTCACTGTGTAACCCAGGCTTGTCTTGAACTCTCGACTCTCCTGTCTTAACCTCCCCAGTGCTAAGACTTATAGGGAAGTGCCACTTTGCTTGGCTGCATTAGTATTTAGGGGGGACCACAGTGAAGATACACCCCAAGTATGGGACATCATTTCAGTGCTTCTGGGGTTTTCGGGGTATAACTGTGTTAGTGCCTCATCGTCGTCCGGTGTTTATGTGTGGGTTTCCACATTTTCTACAGCCCAGCTTATTTAGGTCTAGTCTAAGACATTCAGGCATTCAAACTTACATATGACAGCGAGCTGTCTTTTTCTGAGGTGCTGCTCCATCCCAAGCTATTTCCAGCCCTTTCTGCATCTCTCTCCAGTGGAAGATGACTTCAGCCTTTTAGGACCCAGGAAAATTGCCTTCACTCTGTGCTGTAATGTGAATACTCTAGGAAAAAAAAAAAAACCTCTCCCTTGGCTGTCTCTGCAGCTTCTTTACCCAGAACCCAGGAGGAACTCGTAATTCAATTCAAAGCCAAGTGGATCTCTTTGGACTTATATATTTGTCTGAGATCTGGTTGATAAAATTTACAACTTTTTAAAAATGACTTGCATCATATTGCTGTATTTTTCCATTGCACTGCCTAGAATTTTTTTTTAGGATAGAAAATTTAGACTTTCGATGGGAACCCAGCCACCAGTTCTGCCATTGTTTCTCCATTTCTGCAAGCTAACTAACTTGCAAATGCATTTCTGCATAGTCATCCATTCGTGTGTGTCCGTCACGGATATTTCCTTAGTAAGCGTCCCCCAGAGTGATTTGTGAAGATCTTATTTAGTTGTTGGTGGTGATCTCGCTGCGCTCTAATGATCTGTGGTTATACCACCGACTCACAGCAAATACCGGAAGAAAGCGTTTGCTCTCTGCACTGACAGAGCCAACAACGTAAATGTCCCGGGTCACCACAAGGTGGCGCCCGTGTCAAGGAAGGAAAAGAAAAAAAAATGTTTCAAACAGCAGAGTCACAGTTCAGACACTAGCTAGCTATTGTTCTTACTGTTTCTGGTTGATAATGAGAGGGCCTTCACAGAGCTTCCCCAGGCTCATATCCGAGGTTCAGGCGGTCTACTGCATAGCTTTTTATCCCCCTGTTTTCTGCTCCAAGCTTCATCAACATTCCAGCCAGGCGCCTTATTCCTTAGACCTGATGTGGTGTTGCTGACAGCATCATGCCAGCTGAGATGTCACAGTAGCTGGGGGAAGGGGGGTGGTGTGCACTGAAGGGTCAGAAGTCACTCTTGCTTTCTTGTCTTTAAGAATTCATAATTTCGCTAAAAGCGCCTATCCGAAAAACACGGTCCCGCATGAACAGGTCAGCAGTGAGTCCCACTTTGGGGGAGGCCGGGCCTCTAGCAGAGTGGCTTTTGTTTCTCCCTTGTCCCCTTCTGCTCTCTTTGACACTTTAGCATGACCGTGTGTTAATTTTATAAAACATTAAAAGATGGTAACAGTGAGACTCGGCAAAGCTTTCTCACCACCTCCAAATAATTAGTAGTTCACATGAGGCCCAGGAGTTGTAAGCACACAGTAGGACGCAGTGTTCTAGGGTGAAGGTAGACCTTGATAGGATGGCGCTTGGCCAGCCCAGGGGACCAGAGGTTTGATCCCCATCACCCTATCCCCAAAGTTCTAAGGTCAGTATCTGTTGTCCGATTAACAAGTTATAAAAGTGTACATTCATGTTCCTTCCTGGGTCTAGTGAAAACTGGAGTTGTTGTTTTTCCCTGCTTTTAGAACTCTCTTTCTTTTCCTCCCTTTAATTTCAACTGTCTAGAGGAAAAGTGTAGGTTAGCGTTTTTCAAAGAGACATTCTAGGGCTAGAGAGATGGCTCAGCATTTAAGAGCTTGTGTTGCTCCTGCAAAGGACCCAGGTTTGGTTCCAAGCACCCACATAGCCATTGGTAACTCGTTCTAGAGGCCCTAATGCCTTCTTCTGACCTCTGCACTCACAGCAAACACATGGTACATATACATACATACAGGCAAAAAGGTTCATACACAGAAAATCAATCTAAATTTTTGACTTTATATTTTAATTCTTTTGGTTTTTGAGACAGGGTTTCTCTGTGTAGCCTTAGCTGTCCTGGACTTGCTTTGTAGACCGCGCTGGCCTGGAACTCACAGATACACCTGCCTCTGCCTCCCCAAGTGCTGGGATTACAGACATGCGCCACTGCACCCAGCATAATTAACTGTAAAATCACTTCAATATCAATTCCCAAATAAATGGTAAACCATTTTTCACATTTAGAAAAAGATGACCTCCTAGTAACCCAGTAACCTAGTAGAATAAAAGGATCCTAGTATTTAATTATGGTGGCCAAACTGTTACATAAAGGTGATATGTTCATGAAAAATAAACAAAGCCTTGAGAGATTCCTGCTGTTTCTCCTCCTCAGCACTCAGAATAAAGATGATTTAGGAGCTGGGCAGATGGTTCCATGTGTGAAGTGTTTGTTGTGCAAACACAAGATCAGGAGTTTGGATCCCGGTACCCATGAAAATGCTGGGCAGTGGCCTGCCTGTAACCCCAGCACAGGGACGGGAAATGGGGATCCCTAAGGCAAGCTGGCTAGACTAGCCAAATTGGTGAATTCTGGGTTCAGCTGGGGGCCCTGCCTCGGTGAAGTGCAATCAAGGAAAACACTGACCTCCCAGCTTTGACCTCGTCATGTATGTATACACACATGCACAAACACGAGAAAACAGGTGATTTAACACATACTGTACCAGACTATCGCATTTGAAGACACTTGCTAAGTTCTTCCTCTCTCCTCAGTAGTTGGACCAGAAGTGAGGTTTAGATGGCAGTGGTAGGAATGGTAGCTGCCCTGAGAGTGGGGCCGAGTGTTGGAGGAGCTGAGCAGAGTCTTCCTGGAGAGGACTGGCGCCAGGCCTGGAGGTGCAGACAGCTCACTGGGCTGAGAGGATGGCGTCAGCAGGAGCAGGGTCACGCCTGCTGCTCCAGTAAACCCAGTGTTCCGTTGGCAGGTCCAGGTGTTGAAGCTGCTTTTGAACTTGTCTGAGAATCCAGCCATGACAGAAGGACTACTGAGTGCCCAAGTAAGTAGATTACCTACCTGCTTCATAAATGCACACATACATAGACTTTGACAAATAGATTAGAAAGTCACGGGGATCATCCCTGAAGATCAGTATTAAGGTGTTAGCTTATTCCTCATGTATATGAATTCCTCATGTTTACTGAAACATGAATATTTTGCTTTTGAAAACCATCTTTAGAACTCGTCTGTAGCAACAGTGAGTTTTCCATCTGTGCCCAATTTGCAGTACACTCGTGCAGCTGCATTTTTAAATTTGCTTTGTTTTGTGTGCACGTGTACCTCAGCATTTGCTCAAACAGCAGTGTTGAGTATGTGCTCAAATGCCCACCTCAGCGACTTCATAGTGTTTGTTCTCACGGAACTTAGGAGACACAAGCATGTGGCAAACAAGCAAGATGGTTGAAAAGAGGCCCTGTGTTCTGAAAGAAGTCCAGGTGGTGCGGGGAGACTGGGCCATCTGCTCGACAGCCCTGTTCGCTGTGCCGGCTGTGGGCAGTAATACTGGCGGAACTAGTGAGTGCTTACAAAAACTGGATGGACCCTAACGTGGTTGGTTTCCCAAATGTCTGCACTCCGGGGTTCCAGGAAATCTTACTTTTTTGCTAACAACCAAACCTCCTTTTCCTTTATAGCATGGGATAAACATCACACACGTGGGGTTGCTTGCCTGTGGTCCTTTTAAATGTAAACTAGAAGATGCCGTTTTAAAATACAAAAATGACACTCAGTGTTTCGTCTTTCAGGTGGATTCTTCATTTCTCTCCCTTTATGATGGCCACATAGCCAATGAGATTCTTCTTCGAGCACTTACACTGTTTCAAAATATAAACAACTGCCTCAAAGTAGAAGGCCGATTAGCTAATCAGCTTCCTTTCGCTAAAGGGTCATTGTTTTTCCTATTGTATGGGGAAGAATGTGCCCAGAAAATGAGAGAGCTAGTTTGTCATCATGATGCAGAGGTGAAAGAGAAGGCTTTAGCCATAAAGCCAAAGTTCTGATTGGTTGCTCCTGGATTTTTCAAAGAGTAAATGTAGTCTTAAGTCAGCACACGGGAACTTATTTTCTACCTTCTTTTTAAAAAGGGATGTTTTAGCTGATAAAGTTAAACAACAAAAGTCATATTGCAACTTTATCACAGTTCAGTGTGAGCAGCTCTAATCCAACATGATATTCAAAATTTTGGATTTTGGAGTAGTTCAGATTTGGGCTTTGGGAATTAGGTATTTATTGTATGAAATACTCAGAGGATGTGAATCACTTCTGGAGCAAACATTCAGTTAGGATTACGGACTGATTTGCCATGCTCTTCAGGTTGATTTTGAATGATTCTACTGGTACTGAATGACTATGAGGGATTGTACTGAAGATATTTAATGGTTTCCACACATGAAATGAGTGGCCTTCTCTGTACAATCCTAATTCCTGGAAGTGATTTGCAGTTCCTCGTGGAGACATCGTTAGGTGCGGAGTTAAAGACTATAACTGCCACAGCAAGGGCCTTGTGCCTCAGTGCAGTGATACCCCAAGCTCAAGCCCACGGCCAGCCCCATTATATACTGCTTTGCAAGTCTGTGTTCCTCATCAGAATCTGACCTCATTGTTTCTGATCAGTGTAGGGAAAATGTTTTCTTATACTTAGCCCATGTGTAAGATACTGGAGAGCAGTCCCAAGTGTCCACCCCCAGGCAGGTGGGCAGCCAAGCAGCTGCTCTGTAAACAGGACTGGCCTCATGAGTCCGGGTGGACGCACAGAGAAATACACCCATGAAATGGTTGTTTTTAAAAGCATGTCATAAAACAATGTATTAGTGTCTTTTTTTTTTTTTTTTTTTAAAAAACAATGATAAGTACATTTATACATGGACAGAGCGTTTCTAGAATGATATGTAAAACTTCTGGGCACGAGACATGGGGACATGGATTTTCTTTATGTACCCATTTCTACTGTTTGAATTTTTTTACTGAGCATAACTTGTTAATTTTTTAATAAAAAAGGGAAAAAGTCCAAGGTGTTCACAATTTATTCCCCATCGCTGACATTATTGTACTAATTTTTCACTCACATTTTACTTGACGAAGATTACAATGTGTAAAAATTTTTAACTTTGTCAAACGTGTTTTATGTGTGCGAGTATCTTGCTGCATGTACGTATGGGCACAAGGTCAGAAGCAGGTGTTGAGGTGGGAGTAGTGCGTGGTTGTGAGCCAGCGGTAGGTGCTGGGAACCAAACCCAAGTCCTGTGCAAGAGCAGCCAGTGCTTTTCGGCACTGAGCCAGTTCTCTGAGCCCCTATAAATACGTTCAGCTGTCCTCTCAAGTACTTTTATAATATTTTATTTAGAAGATCCATTAGACAGTATTTACAATGTATATCAGACTAACAAAGGAAAATAGATTTTTCAAAATTTAATTTCACTTTACGCATACATCCTTTGAAATGTGGATTAGAAAAATAAAGTGAAGACCATTCAATAGGGTGGTTGTGCTCAGGAGATATTTGACGTACTTCATAACGAATAGAGCTTCTATGTATGTAAACTGAAAGAAACAGAATTCATGAGGAAACCTAGAAAACGAGGCAGGCCCAGTTCAATCAACGGACTTGAACACAGAGCACCCAGAGAGCCTCAGTGAGGGGGTGGGGGGGGGTACAAAAGCAACGTTAAGGCCAATCACGGAGAAATCCTTAAGCAAGGCACAGTGCTTGCTTCGTAAGTAGAGAATTCTCAGCGTGACGTGCAGTAACAAGATGACTGCCAGGGTGCCGGGTGGAGCAGCGTGCCCCAAGGCTGGAACCGTGCCCCACTGTGGGCAGTCACATCCGCATGCAGGGGGAAGCTGGTTTCACATGGAATCCCGTGCATTAGTGCCTCGAGTCCCGGTCACTGTATGCACCGTATGACAACACACAGTTCCCCTAGACTGACAGGACCATTTTATATAAAAATACTAAGTTCTGACAATCGCTTACGTTGGCTCTTTCCCTCTAAAGCCACATTAAGTAGGGTGAGGTGGTTACACCAGTTTGGTATCTGCAACAGGAACACTGATGTTCAGTGTCTGCTGTGCCTGTCTGCGAACACTTAGGTTCCTAAAGTGCTTTTTAAAAAAATCTGTTATTCTCGGCCTTTGGAGGTAGGTTGACATTGTCCTCTTGGACATGATGATAGTGGGTCCAAACACGGGTCACTTGTTTTGGGGTGATCATGACGGAATGAATGCAGGTCCGAGGAGAGGCCGAGGTGACATGCATGTACGCATGCAAATACATAAAATTACTGAGTACTCCTATCTAATACTTGAGAGATATATACCTTAATATGTATATATATGGGAAACCTACTGAGTTTTGTGCCGTTGGTCTATGATGGCGTCACTACTGCCCAGGCAGCCTGCTTCCTGAAGGCTCACAACAAACCTGTGAATGCAGAGGCATACTGGGACAAAGACTCTGGTCAGCAGACACACACAACCTTAAAACACTGGGATTTCACAGTGGCTTACTAAGGGGAACAGTTGTGCTTATAGGTCATTTAATACAAAAATATATGCCACATCCAAGTCATGTAAAACAGTCTTATAAATCTTATTGATATACTTCAGGTAAGAGCTGAGAGAACGGGAAGAAAGTGTATAGAAAGTGGAAAGTAAAGAGAATAAAAGTTGCAAGTGCACTATGTCTTCACATTTAGGATCTACATTCTCTCCTTTGTGACAGGCCTCACTGTAGTTGAAGTTGTGCTTGCTTGGCAGGATGTCGGCCTTTGAAACGAAGAACCTCCCCTAAGTCTCACACCCACACTCTACCCTTCTCTGCGCATCAGCTTTTAACTTGGAGAACGCAGCTGTGGAGATGTAATTATGCAGTGTATATATGACAATAAAAAGTTATTTTAAAAATGATAATTTAGCCCAAACTCCTACCTTCTTAAGCCTAACAAGACAGATCACTTAACATTTGGCACGTGAGCTCGTGTTTTCTCTTGAGCCAGGCTCTCACTTGTAGCTCTGGTTGGCCTTGAACTTGTGGACTGTCTGCCTTATCCCTTGGAGTGTTGAACTGTAGTCATGCATCACCATGACCAGCAGCTAATCTTGACAAAGAACTGATACATTTAATTAGCATGTGGAGGTCAAGTTTCTCATTATATGAATGTAAGAAAGGTGTGTGTGTATGTGTGTGTGTGTGTGTGTGTGTGTGTGTGTGTGTGTGTGTGTGTGTAAAATCTAGGTGGGGTAAGCTTGTCTCTTCTTTGTCAAAAGCTTTGAGTATCAAAAAAAGAAATGGAACTTTAATGTCATTTTTTCATAACATTGTACTACCACCACAATGTATTGTTTTGATAAAAAATAATATTTTGCAATGTTTAGACCATTGGTATGTTTTGTAAGTCTATATTGGACAGTTCCTTAAATAACCCACCCCAAGACCCCCAGTTTATATAAAGCAAGTCTTATCAGTTGGCAAGTTATAATATTAAGCAAAACACACACTTGCTGCAATTGTTTCCATGTGAAAAATGTCATGAAGAATTTCTTAAGTCTTTTCAGTGAAAATTCCTGTTTTCATTTTTCTTCAGAAGCTTTCTCATCAGTATTCAAGTATCTTGATTCTCCGTGCTTCAGGACAAAGAAATCTTCACTTTTAAGTCCGTACCTCTCTAGAGCTTCATGCAGTTTCACCGGCGGCTCTAAGTAATGCTGGCAAGTGGCAGGAAGAAACACAAAAACTTACAACACTAATACTTGAGGGCTATTCAGATAAGCATTCAAACTAAAGGTCAGTTTAGGTCACCAGAAGTTGCCCACAGAAAACAATTCCTTCTCTTTTACATGAACCCTTAGCCAATCAGACAAACATGTCTTCCTACTCACCTTCAGTCATTAGCTACAGAGTCACTAAAACTGTCTACTACCGGACAGAAGAGAGTCCATCCAAATGCCTGCATGTGCACTGTGCCACCTTACGTCAGTGTCACCAGATCACACATGTCCTGACCTCACGAGTTCAGTGTAACTGGAGTCAATGCCAAGAAATGATGCAGGAGGACTGGATGCTACGACCCCTGAGCACGTGGGGCTCCGCTCATCTGTGCTTGTGTGGGCAAGCAAGCATTTCTGGCTGAAGAAGGCTGTTACCCACAAGCCTCCCGTGAGCAAAGCAGGTCAGAGGTGGACAGGCAATGCAGGAACAGAGCAGGCTCCACAATGTTTCTGCACATTTGAATATTTTCTTAAGTTCAAAGTGGCTTGGCAAAATGCCTTAGGAGGCAAAGGTACTTCAGGCCAAACCTGGAGTCCTACGTCAGATCCCAGACCCACAGGGTATAAGGATAAAGCTGACCCTCTCTGACCTCTACATGCTTGCTGTGGTACACCTGCTCCATACACACACACACAATGTAAATCGTTTTAAAAGTGCAGATCACTTGAATGTAGGATAAAATTGTTATTATAAAGAAATTTAAAGCATGAAGGTAAGGGATTGCATTAGTTTTAAAAATACAAGATTTGGGGCTGGAGAGATGGCTCAGAGGTTAAGAGCACTGGCTGCTCTTCTGAAGGTCCTGAGTTCAATTCCCAGCAACCACACAGTGGCTCCCAACCATCTATAACGAGATCTGGTGCCCTATTCTGGCGTGCTGTATAAATAATAAATCTTTTAAAAAAATTATAAGATTTGGAAGGGCTCACAGGTTAAGAGCACTGGCTGCTGTGCTAGAGGACCAGTTCAATTCCTAACACCCCATGGTGGCTTACAACTGTTTGTAATCTAGGCCCAGGGAATCAAGATGCCCTCTTTTGGCCTCCTTGGACACCGGGCACACGTGTGGTACACAGACTTAAATGCAGGCAAAATACTCATGCACATGAAAACAAATTTAAAAAAAACAAAACAAAACAAAACTACAGAATCATTGTGATGTGGTAAAAAAAAAAAAAAAAAAAAAAAAAAAAGCAAATATGTGAGCTTAAGAGATGGCTCAGAGGTTAAGAGCACTGGCTGTTCTTCCAAAGGTCCTGAGTTCAATTCCCAGCAACCACACGGTGGCTCCAACTATCTATAATGAAATCTGGTGCCCTCTTTTGGCATGCTCACATGCCAAGCAGAATACTTTATAAATAATAAATAAGTAAAATTAAAAAAAAAAGACAAATGTGTAAGTATGGTACCAGAAGCACAAACATACTAATAATTAAATAAATTATATTTGTATTAATTCTTGGAGAATTTCATACATATATACAATCTATTTTACTCATGTTCACTCTCTACTCCCTCTCTCAATTTCTCCCATACCCATCCCCTCCCTAGGCCTCATTCCAACATCATTTTTGTTAATTTTTTTTAATTTTTATTTTTATTAAATACAGTTTATTCACTTTATATTCCAGCTGTAGCCCCCTCTCCATCCCCTTCTAATCCCTCCCTCCCTCTTCTTCTCCTATGCCCCTCCCCTAGTCCACTGATAGGAGAGGTCCTCCTTCCCTTCCATCTGATCCTAGTCTATCAGATCTCGTCAGGACTGGCTTCTTTGTCTTCCTCTGTGGACTGGTAAGGCTACTCCCCCCTCAGATGGAGGTAATCAAAGAGCCAGCTCATGAGTTCACCATCATTTTTTAACTTATTTCCCTTTGACCTAAATCTCTAGGGTATTTAATTCATTCAAAGCTTTCCATTTATTTGTTTGGTTTGGTTTGGTTTTGGTTTTTAGAGACAGGGTTTTTTCTGTAGCCTTGGCTGTCCTTCACTCACTTAGTAGGGTAAGCGGGTCTTGAACTCACAATGATCCACCTGCCTCTGCCTCCCAGAGTGCTGGGATTAAGTTTTTTTTTTTCCCTACCTAATTAGAAAGGCTGTAACATTTGGAAGTTAAAAAAAGAAGTCAAAGTTTCTAAAGCATACTGCAGCAGAAGTCCGTCTTCCCTTCTGTGAGGATTGTCTTCCACACATCTACAGAGAATGCCAGGCTACTGAACTAGACAAGTCTTTCCCTCTCCACCGCAGAGACACAAGGAAATACACATGGTAGCTAAGGGGTTAATGCACTCTGGGGAGGAGAGGGCTGGAAATGAGGTTCACGTTAAATAAAAGCATCTTGGAGACCCTTCCAAAAGCACCCTATGAACACACACCCAGTGGTCTGGGCTCCTCAGGGCACTGTAGGTAACCATCAGGCTGGGGTTTTCACCCCAAACACTGCTCCCAAGTCACTCTGCGCAAAGGTCACTGGCTTCTAGTGCTGAGCAGAGTGTAAGGAGCAATGTGTACCGGTGAAGGCTGAGCTGTGTGTGAGCATGTGTTCAGAGGGAGGCAGTCTGGCTTGACAGAAGATGGCTTATATGTAAATGTGATGGGGGAGGGTTGGGAAGGGGAGGATCTGAGCTAGAAACGTGAATGAAGCAAGACAGGAAGTGGGAAAATTAAGGAGACATGAGAAAGGGAAAGGGTTCTTTCACCAATACCCAGTTTCCGTTCCCCACTGGCTGGGTCAAGACTTTGGTCATGACTAATAAATCCACGGTATAGACTACCTGCATAGTAATTACACCCTTTCCTGAGCAACTTCCCAGACAGGAATAAAACAGCTAACGAACCAAGGTCAAAGCCAAAAGTATGCTTTACAGCTTTACAGCCTTTAATACTTTATGTGCTGAGCCACCTGCTCGGCCCCAGGCACAGCTCTTTCTTCACGCCTGCACTGGAGATCTGCCCTTGGCATTTATTGCTTGCTTTTTAATACTGAGTCGCCCCGAAATTCTGGCTTGACCCGCCATTCTTTCCTGTGGCTTGAGATCCCCCTTACGGATGAATGGAGTTTTAGGAGCAACTCCTTGGATTGCCCGGCCACGAGTGCTATACTGCACCTCCCGACTGTGGGAGGACTGGGGCAGGGCTGCTGCCCACATAACGCAATGCTACAAGGAGAGAGATGGAGAGCTACTAGCAATAGGGAGAAGAGACAACCAACGAAACACGAAAGCCAGGAAACATTTCTTGGGGCTTAAAATGTACACGGTGGGTATTTCCCTCCTTGCTTATTTCCCGTTTGAGGCTATGTTTAAAGGATTGCTGCCAGCATTCACCTGACTGCCAAATAACTTGGGTTTTAACTAAGCCTTATTAATACTGTATTCTTAGAGATAACTACTTAGTAATGGAAGGCAGACAGCGGGAATCTACTGTTTATCTGATATATGTTGTACATATATATGCTATTATATACTGTATAATACACCCATGTAATTCATTTTTTAAAATACTTCAGAATAATAAAAGTCTTCCCCACTGAAAAAGAGTTCCTTTTGTTAAGTTCCTGTCATCCATGTTTTATAAGTCTTTGGTCGGCAGTATAGATGCACAGCCACCCGACACTGCTAACTTCTTTGCTAGCTCTAACTTGATAGTGTCGGGCATGATGTGCAAGGACTTAGTACAGTTTTTATAATGCTGTAGCTCATAGGAGACCCTCTTATCTTTAATCTACCTACATTTTGCAACATCTGGGTTTTTCCATAGGTTAGTTCTTGGCTAGTCTAACCATTTAGAGACTAGCCTTAGAATTAGGTCAGAAACGCTTCCGGATGACGTAGATGTGATATCTCAGATTCTAAGCAACTTAATCCACAAGGGAGAAAAGAGAGCCGCACTGTCATGGAAGCAAGCACCTGTGGAAAAGCAAGTCAGGACGTCCGAGAATAAAGGAGGAGGAGAAGGGCTCCCCGAATTCTGGAGCCGCCACATGCAAGGCAGCCAGTCCTAGACAGCCACATTCCTAAAGGGTAACTGCTCAATAACCTGCTTCCAGGGGCTGGAGAGATAGCTCAGTAGTTAAGAGCACTGGCGGCTCCTCCAGAGGACCTAGGTTCAATTCCCAGCACCCACATGGCAGCTCATACCTGTCTACAACTCCAGTTCCAGGGCATCTGACACCCTCACACACATACACATGCAGACAAAACACCAATGCACATTAAAAAACTAAAAACAAACAAACAAAAAAAACCAATCTGCTTCCAACAGAATCTAGTAAAGGTACAACCCAGATCAGCCAACACACTAGTTTATGTAATTACATAGTGCTTAAAAACAGTTTCCAGCAAAATGAGTGGCGTATTTATTAGTTCACATGTACCACACACACACACATAGCTTTAGAGTGCTGCCGATGGACAATTGTATCCCACTTGTAGTACAATGAGCAGCTATTTCAAGTATGTATGCAAAACACAGCACTTAAAAGTATTTCGAAAGTATAGGCTAAACACATCCAGGAAATGCCATCGACTCTGTTTAGCTTATCATTCACACCTTTGTGCTGGTTGAGCAAACTGATAATCACAAAAGGGTTAAAGGGGAGATGAGTCTTCATTAAGAGTCTCGGAGGGAACTAAAGATGGGGGCGCAGCATGAACAAATCTGTTGAGCTTTTTCTTTTCTTTGGTTGAGATTTTTGGTGCTGGTGTAGCTACCATATTCAAGTAGCCCAGGATGGCCTGTAGCTTGTTAGATAGACCGCTTGCAGGCTTCGATTCTTGAAGGCTAAATAGTGAAATGATTCTTGTCATCTGAGGTTTGCATCCTCTCCTGATCGCCCCATCTCAGCAAAGAGCACGAGTGACTGCCCAGTCCCTTGAGCTGAGTCGTCATTTCTTTCCAGAGGCTCATAAATACTACTGTCCTATCTAGGTCATTGCCAGAAGACACACACGGAGCACACACACACACACAGGTGGTCTAAGAAACTTCCATCAAACAGCAGCGAGCACACATGACAGCCTCTTCCCAAACGCACACGTGTGCTTCAGATGGGCATGCCTTCCTCCTGGCCCTGTATGTTTTCATTTATTACTCGGTTCCACCTCCAGCAGCATGGCTAGAGAGCTGCTGTAGTACGCGGGGTTATGTCACCATAAAACAGACACTTTAACTAGGGAATAGGGAAATGAGCAGGGGATATTCTGGAACAAACTGATTAGGAAGAGACCAGGCCAGAAACAAAGCAGAGGGAGAGGGCTAAAAACAGTAAGGAAACACTGGGTCTCTGCAAAGAGGTCCTGGGAGATGAGGGATAAGGAGGGGGTGGGGCGGGAGCCAAGTGGAAGTTAGCTTCTAACCCTCTCTAAACTTTGCCAGGTCTCAGATCCAGGAATGAAGAGACAGTATCATTAGACTTTGCTGGTCCAAGAACCCCGGCCAGCAGCAGGGCTCTGGGGATCAATTCCCTAAGGGAACAATCAGTTCTTCTGATTGTAGTCTAGAATAAACCACACTTATCCCAGTGTCTGACAGACAGCAAGCACTGAATCAGTTCACTGAACGACTAAGCTCCACATGCGCCCTTCTCCCACTGCCCTCCACACAACCCTCTCCAGAAGCACTAACTCCTCAGTCCCCAGTGTTTGGTAACCCCTTATGCTCTGTCCTTTCCTCCTCTAGGAACATACCTTCCTCCTTGCCTGTGGCCTAGTTAAAATTTCCATCTTCCATGAAGCGATTCCAGATCCCTGCCCATCTTTGAGACCAATTTATCTGCCCTACATGATAGCACTTCCGCCTACCAGAATATCAGCCATACACGTCTTCTAGCTTCCACTAGAACATAAGCCATCTGGAGGGTGGACGCATGTTTCCTTTTCTACACCACACACAGGTTTGTGGAGAGGCACATCCTTTGTTAACTATGGAAACCAGCCCAGGTACACCATGCACATCTTATTCCTGTTTTCACATATCATTTTACTAGTTATTGTGCTTCTTCCCTCCAGTTCACGTGGTTATTGCAATAACTATGGAGTTTGATACCACAGTGTTTGTTGTCTCTGAAAGCTAGGGCACGGCAATACCTAAATCCCACCAACAGCCAAACACAGTCAAAGCTGGGCTCTTTGTTTGCTTACATCAAACTTACCTCATTAGCTAAGGCAAAAGTTCCCCAGTGAATTGCCACAGATCTCTTCGCTTGGACATCAATGTGAATCCTTACGGCATCTTCTGGGTCAGCATGCTGGTATTTCATAAACCACCTGGTGAAACAGAAAAATGTAAAGGCGAGTAAAGAATCAGAAGCCAAACTCCAGCTACCACAGAATAAGGATAGCCTACAAACTGACCAGATGAAAAGCAAGCAAAGGGTTACCATACCAACCCAGGGACCGCGACACACAGCTATGACACCTGCCACTCCACAGGAGGGGCCTAAAGTCAGGCTGGATCACGTTATCAAGACTGTTTCTCAGAAGTAGCGTACAGTATAAAGCGTGCAAACTTTAAAGATACAGGCAGAAGGCCCACTGCTAGCCAAGGAGTTTTACTTCAAGCGTCCTAAAGCTAAATAGTGAGGGGATGGCTGGGCAAAAAGACTCACTAGTGACTATAGATTACGAAGTCCAGAAGGACTGGCTGATGCCTTGGAACCGGCCCAGGCTCCTGAGGCACAGAGCCTCCTGAGGCCCAACACTTGTGATGGCTGGAAGGCCTGTGGAAAGTTCTCCCCAATTCCCTGAGCACCCATCTCCATGTCTATGGAGTCTAAGCCCTGATCCACCCTATAAAGGAACTGTATCGGCTGAGCTAGACAGTAAATTTATTTTTTTACTCTAGCAATTGAAATGAAAATGTTAGTGCTAAGGAGACAGGCCAGTGACAAATCATTTGGCCCAGCTTGTTCCAGGCTCTGAATTCAGCCCCAGCAAGTCAAGCAGGGCTGGGAGCATGGGGTAAATGCTAAGTTCCAGCTGACTCAGCTACGATGTGACAGACGAGGTACACCCCAGAAGCAGGAATGAAATATTCCCAGCACACACCTAAAGGTCTTCTTTGTTTTCAATTTTTGCTGTAATCAGCACACATGTGTATAAGATTCCTAAGTTTTATTTTCTTTCTAAAACATCTGATACTGCCAAAAAAGAAAAAAACAGAACAAAAACCACACAACGCCCACCCTCTTCCACAGTGCATGCGCACTACCACGTTTAATGCTCTTGAAGCAAGCAGTGCCCGGGCCCCTCGCAGCCGAGAGAGATGGCAGCACTGCAGAGAAGGGGAAGGGCCCTAAGCATGCAGTCTGTGGCATCACCCCAGACGCACACATCAAAGCATACACTGCTACCTGCGAAGGCCTGTTCTTATAATTATAGATAGTCTAATCTGTGGTGAGGAAAAGCCAACACCCTCTGAAAATGATTTGTAACCGTTTTTTTTTTTTTCTTAAAGCCATGTTGATTGATATTTTCAGAAGTTTTCATGAGGAATAAAATAATTTGAATGGATAAAGTAAAATTCAAATACTAATACTGACAGAATAAATTTTGTTGGGGTCTGTGGTGGTGGTGGTTTTTTGGAACAGATCTTCTTGCTTCAATTTCTAATTGGGGGGGGGTGGTTAGAGGCATGTACCATTTCATATGGCAAATTATAGTAGTTTTAGTAATTACCAAGAACCCAAAACAGGTGAGCCACCCACAATGAGGAAATAAGTACAACTAACTAAATAAATAAAAGAATAGATGTTGGGGGCTGGAGAGATGGCTCAGCAGTTGAGAGCACGCTCTATTCTCCCAGATGTCCTGAGTTCAATTCCCAGCAACCACGTGGTGGCTCAAAACCACTTGCACTGAGATCTGCTGCCCTCTTCTGGCTCACAGGTATACATGCAGATAGACCACTCATATACAAAAAAATAAATGATTAATTTTAAAAAGAAGAAGAAATGTAAATAAAAGAAAAAATGGTTTGCAGAGCTTAGGGTTAACAAATAAATTTGACAGGGCTGGGGCTAAAGCTCAGTGGTAAGAGTCCTTGCCTGGCTCGCCTGGGGCCCTGGATTCAATGCCCAGTTACGGAAAAAGAAAACTGATGAATGGCTAGATATCGGATGAGAACAAAAGTCTGGATTTACCCAAGCCATCACGTGTGCGAGTGAGTCTCAGCTCTGTTGACACTCTAGATACACTGCGTGTATTAGAAATACAATGCTGGCAGGGTTGCCTGGACAGCACGCGTGTGTCTGCACTCGGCAGACACGTGGGCGGGGGGGGGGGAACGCATGCCTGTGTATGAGGGCAGGTGCAGGCCAAAGGAAACATGTAATGACGCAGGCATGTGGGCGAACGCAGGTGGAAGTCAGACGAGAACTCACAGGCATTGATCCTCTCATTCTGATCTTCAGGTCCTGGGGATCGAAAGGGTCCTTCCGGCTTTGCCAAAGTGCCTTTCTTTACCCGCTAATCCATTTCCCCAGCCCTCCACCTTGTTTTAAAGACAGCTTCTCTTACTGACCCTGGATGTCACTGATAGGTTAGGCTAGCTGGCCAGGGACCGCCTCCCAGCTCTGGAATGACAGGACCCTGCTGTCAGGCATGGCTTTTCACTGTGGGTCACAAGCTTGTGTCCCCAAGCTTGTGCCAGCACTCACTCGCTTTATTGCCAGGTAAGCAGCTTCCTGGACCACTTTCTTACCATCTGTTTTGCTCTGCTTTACTTGTACATCTGCTTGACTGAGTTCCCTAAACTCATATCTCTTTTCCTTAAGGAGACTGTATGAAGGAAAGCAGACAGTTGACAAGTCTTCTGTGGCAGTATGGCTCTCAATTGCCTTCAAAGTAAGTGATGAGTACTCGGGGCTGGGAGGGAGAGTAGTGAGTAGCGAGAGAAGATTCTCTGCATGCTGACTGAAATTAAGAACATGGAAAGGACTAGCACTGTAGGCCAACTCCTTGCTTTCTCGCTCTGTGAAGCAGAAGAGATGCAAGTAGGGATTGGAAATTCCCCATCACAGAATAAAAGCTAATCATCTATAGAGAATCAGCCATGTGAAAAGGAAGCGCAAAAGTGAGTTCTGGTTCCTGGCTCGTAAGCCAGAAGGTATGTAGGCTCTGGCAAGATGTACATGAGATTGCAGGTGAATCTGATTTCAGCCTCCACCAGTTATAACCGAGCCCACCACTAAAACAACAACAGGTAAAGTGCGCGTTTACAAACCTTGGTGCATAAGCTCCAATGGGGATAGCTGCAAGGTCAAAAGGACCAAACCTTTTTCCTATCTCTTCAAAAGCAGGGCAGTAGCCAGTATCCCCGGCAAAGAAGAACCGATTCCAAGGCCCTAACACAGACCAGCTGCCCCACAGAACCTTATTGTCATCCATGAGGGTCCTTTTACACCAGTGCTGGGAAGGCGTTAAGACAAAGGTGACCTTGTCGTGGCCCGGGACGCAATTCTCCTCCCACCAGTCAAGCTCAATCACATTGTCACAGCCACATTTCTGCATCCAGTCGAGAAGGCCCAGAGGCACAAACCACCTCAGCTCACTGCCAAACCGCTCGTTCAAGGCGAGGACAGTGCTGTGGTCCAGGTGGTCATAGTGGTTGTGGCTGATCACGACGGCGTCTATTTGGGGGAGTTCACCTATCGTACACGGCGGACGGCGGAACCGCTTTGGACCCATGTACTGCGAGGGCGAAGCACGGGAGCTGAACATGGGATCTGTGAGGAAGATGAGCTCATCCATCTCCACCATCAGCGTTGCATGTCCCAGCCACGTGACTCTCAAGCCAGCCTCTCTCACTCCAGCTTCTTCGGGGTTACTGACAAAGTATGGCTTCAGCACTGGGAGTTCTTTGTCAAGTTCCTGTACATAGATAGATATAAAAAAGGAAAAAGCAGCGTTCAGTGGGTGGAAAGCTATTACATCATCAGAGAAAATCTTCTGACCTAAATTACAGTGAGAGGAGCTATTTGGGGACAACGGAAGTCAGCCCATACACCTGCTGCTTCTGCTCTGCTCCTAAAGATGTGGACCTCGCCTCTTTCTAGATGGGAGCTAATGACAACAGCTCAGGAATCCTGAATGGAAGAGCAGGAGGAAACGTTAAATTTAGAACTCTGACTATTGCTAAGTTTTCTTTCTGACAGCTCTCTTCTGCAGCCCCAGCAGGAGGCTGGCCTAGATGCAGCTGTTTTGCTGCTGTCCCCTCACTGAGCTGATGTACTTGCTGCCGAGAAGCAGCCTCAGAAGCAGGCCAGCCCCTAGCACTCGCAAACTAAGCTGACGGCAACTGACGTTTAACCCTTGGATTGCACACATCTTACTTTTGAACACATAAAATTCAAAGCGAAACCATGTGAGGATTCCTGGGGGTCTGGTGGGGGGATCACATCCATAAAGGCATTCCTTACCCTGACAAGGCAGGCTGTCACAAGGGAAGGTAAAGGCAGGAGACAATTGTGGGGAGTGTCAAGGGAAGCCTTTTGGAGGCCCACAGGGAATGGCGAGCGAAGCATCCGCGACTCCCATGGCTCCTGGAAAGGTCCTGATCCACCGCCCACAGTGTCGATCCACCAGGGTCTCCTAGCACACTGGTGAGGTCTCAAAATGGATCCGAGGCTAGGCCGGTGTCCGGTGACCGCTACCCCCTTCTTCATGGAAGTCTCCTAAGGTGACCTCGCCCCCCAACACCCCCACATTCTTTAAGTTGCACTAACCTGACTGATTGTTACTGGTGCTTGAGGCTGGCATGGGACGGTCTGATTTAAATGATTCCAATCATTTAAAAGGCCGCTACACTGGACTGTAAACGTTAGAGCTGCACCTTTGAGTCTGGTCTCCAGAGTCTGATTTCCGAGATTCTGCGTGGGCTCCATTGCTACTCAACACCCTTCCCCTGGTTCCTGATCCCCACAGACAATGGTGACAGAAAACTAAGAAGCCACTGAGACAGTCTGAATGAGAAGGCCTGGCCAGGGAAGGAAAGGTAGAGGATAGCAGTGATGGCTCTGGAGCCCTTCGAGCTGAGGTTCCACATCTGGAAAATGGGTATAACTGTACCTCACTGTGATGAGGACTGGGTCAGGAACAGCTGGCTCACAATATATTCTCTGTAAGTATTCCAAATGAAGACAGTCCTAACCCCAGTCGCCCGCCGAGAAGCATGCGGACAGTCTCGTCCACTTCTTTTATTTCTGCACAGCTGGTAACCTATACTGAAGACCCTAAGCAGCAGCTAGACCTATCAAAGTACTCATGACTGACTGACTGGCTGTCTCTGTGCCCACTCATCCACACCCAAGAGCTGTATCAGTCCTCAACAGTACCAAGCCGGACATGATAAGCACCTGGGAAGCTGTGGAAGAAGGGTCAAGAGTTCACGGCTAGCCTTGGTTACTATAGAGAGTTGTGCCTATAAAGAAATGATCCAAAAGAATAGTGTACCTACAGTTAAGAGAGAACTCACTCCCCACTGAGAAGTCTTCACTGCTCTCTGCCATCTGACAAGCTCCATCCCATCTCCCTGCCCAACTATTAGCTGCCTGTGGGATGCTCAGCCCTCCCCGAGCTGTGCTTCATGCTGTTTATGACTCTACACACTCTCTCTATCCCACACACAGGGACACTCTTCCTGTTCCTGGACTGAGTTTCAGAACGCTGCATGATTCTGACCTCGTTTCTCAGATTGCTTTCACCCTGTCGGTCCTCTGAGACTGTAATTAAACTGTACATCCTCCAAGGGACCATCCGTAAGTCTCTGCAGATGGAGTCCCTTGCCCCTGGACGTGCACGCTTCTGTGAACACAAGTCTCCTCTAGGTATTCTGGTTTGAATGCAGACTATCTCTTGTCTTATATATACAGCTTGGAAACATTTGAAGTACCTAGCTCAGTGACTACAATACAGTGATCAATAAAATTTTTTGGATAAATTAATGAATGTTATTTTTTCAGTTAATTCTCAAATTTTAAATGAGGGTTTAGAGAAAAATGTCACATTGTATACTTGCCAAGCAATAAGAAGGTAAAAAAAGTTTAAAAGATAGAAGGGGCAAAAGGAAGAAAGGAAACTAGGGTGCTTGAGCACTGGCTCTGCAGTCGAGGGCACTTGCTGGCTTTTCAGAGGACCTGGGTTCTGTTCCCAGCACCCACAATAGGATGCTCACAGCTCCAGTTCCAGCGGCCCCACAGCCTCTTCTAGCCTCTTCCGCCACTGGCAAGCATGTGGTCCACACTCTCGGGTATGCACAGTCACAGAAAATAAACAAGTAACTCTTGCAGAGAAAGGGAAGAAATTAATGTAAATTGAACACCTGCTATGTGTTAGGCATAATGCTAGCCACAAAACGATGATGATGATGGCATACTATCTATCATATCAAGTGCTTTACTAAAATATTGCATAAAACAGCATCAGCAATAGCTACCATTCATAAGGATTTCACTGTTTAGACACTACATTAATTCATAAAAAACGACTTAGATTTAACACAGATCAAAACACCAGAGGTGAAAGCCACCTTAGCAAAGAGTTACACAGAATTACCCTCACACAGGTCAGCCAACTGATCTCTGTGCGTACCTTCTCCAATCAGCGTAAGTACTCCAATTAATTGCGTGTGCACCTGTGTGTGTGTGTGTGTGTGTGTGTGTGTTCACGCAGGCATGCACAGGAGTGTTTGTGCATGTGTGCGTGTGTGTTGCTGCAGATTAAACTCATACATGCTAAGCATGTGGTTGATTACTAACCTAACCCCCCGCCCCCCAGTCCACATTTACCTTTTGAAAGCAAGAGCTTAGGGAACAAGTGTGCAGGATAAGAGGAGATAAGACCACAAAAACACAAGGAACCCTGGGGATAGTGGGTGTGTCCGTTAGCTTCATTGTGGTGATCTGCTCTGTGTGCCCCAATGTTACAACTCATCCAGTTATACATGGTAAGTACGTGGAACCCGGGTTACGTTCCAGAACCACCTTAAAATGCTTAAGCAGAACTACACAAAACAGTGTGCTGAAATAGCTGGAAAGCGGTAATCCCTGGAAACGAATGCACTTTGGTTTTGCTCTAGTTTGAAGGGCACCTGAAGCTCAGCATTAGCGCTGTCTGAATGCTTCTGGGAGATGAGGCCCACAACATCGTTAGCGGTCTCAATCTAGTTGCCAAGGTTATTAAGACATCAGTGTGGATTTATTGTTTCCAGGGGACAGAGGAGAGCAAAAGAATCAGGTCGGAGGGTGATGACTAAAGGGCAAGGTACTACATTTGGAAATAACGGATGATTGTGTGTAGTTGCCTATGTTTGTGAACATAATAAGAACCACTAAATTGTATGTTTAATGGGGTTTTATACTATGCAAATTATTGCACAGTAAAGCTTTTTGTAAAAAAAAAAAAAATTAGTGACATGAGTTCTGAACACTTTTCTCTGTCTGCTGTGGTGTCTGAATGAGGTGCCCTCCCATACACTGAATACTTGGTTCCCAGCTGGTGGCACTATTTGGGTAGCTTTAGGAGGTGTGGGCTTGCTGGAGCAGGTGTATCACTGGGCGTGGGCTTTGAGGTTTCCAAGCCAGGAACCATCCCCAGCCCACTCTGCTCCCCTCTCAGGTGTTCCTGCTGCTCTACCTGAATGCGGCCATGTTCTCTATGATGATGACGGAGCCTCTGGAGCCGTTAAGTCCAGATAACCCTTTCCTTTGATAAGATGCCATGGCCCTGGCATTTTATCATGGCAACAGAACAGTAACCAATACATCTATGCATTTTCCTTCACACTCTGATTCTCCTCTCACGACAAAGTGGCAACTCATCTTTACAAATTTACTCCCTGGCAGCTTCCTCAGGAAACTCAAACAAATGTAACCTACAACTGAGCAACCAAAAAAAATCAAAAACAAAACAGAACAAAAATCTATTTTTTTTTTTTTTCAGGGATTTCAGATGACTGAGTGGGTCAAATGCTTGTTCTATGAACATGAATATCTGAGTTCAGATTCCCACGAGATTCCCAAAATCCCCAAAAAGCTGGGCACGGCATGTCTGTGACCTCAGCACTATATGTGAGAAAAGAGCATTCCTGAAGCTCAAGGGCTGGCCAGCCTCAATAAATCAGTGAGCTCCAGGTTCAAGGACAGACTGCCTCAAAAACAAAGGTGCACAGTGACCAAGAGAGACACCCAGAGGCACCTTCCGGCCTCCACACACATGTGCACATATAAACACACACACACACACACACACACGGGTGTGCACCCACATGCACATAACCAGAAAAGGAATGAATGATTTATAAACTTTTCATCCCAACAAAGAGTTTGGAAAAGCATGTCGAACAGGAGGTGGGAGGAAAGGGATTCTTGATTTCTTGAAGAAAGTGAGGTTGGTTGGTTTGTTGTTTGTTTGGCTAGATCAAGATTTTCTGGGCTGATTTTCCTTCATGGGAGCTACAAAGGGGAAACCATAAGGCCCATGATTAAGGAGCAGATTAGTACATGTTTTGCTTTTCTTGAGGAAAGGGAAAAATCTAAATGTTCACTGTGCCAGGTCATGTTCACCTTTAGCCAGATGCTAAGGACACTGCCTTTCCGATTGCCATGACAAAACACCACAAACACAACCACAACCACAACCACAACCACAACCACAACCACGGCAGCTTACAGAAGAAATAGTTTATCAGGCTTACAGTTCTAGGCAGTGAGTCCGTGACCATCATGGTGGAGAGCATAGCTGCAGATACGCAAGCTCAACACCGGGGCGGTAGCTGAGAACTTGAGCCATTCTCATTCAAAGCATCACATGCTCCACATGATTGAACACTGTGCCGGGTATGTCTGTCATCTTAGTGGTAAACAGACAAGGCAGGGAGGGGGTCACTGAACTTGTAGAGCTCATACAAGATAGGTGTTCTACCCAGGAACAGCAGTTAGGTCTTCCTGGCTTAAATCACCTCTTCTCACTAAACCGTTTCCTTCAAGGAACAAATTATATTAAGTCACACTAAAGCTAAATAAAATGCCACACTGAGATGGTGCTTCTACCTTAAAACACCTGCTCCCCCATGCAGCTCACATAAAAACTGCAACACAGTTCTTTTGAGGTATACAGACTTCTTTGGTCCCAGGTAGCGGCAGTAAGCTGTGGGCTGTTTTTGCAGGGAATGCAAGTGGCCCCATGATTTGGTGATTTGGTGGTGGTGAAAGTAAATACTTCCCTAGTCATCCAAATCTACCCTCTGCAGGGACAGACTTTCATGGGGAATGTTTTATGGTCCAAACAAACAACTTTTTTAGATAATGTGCCATTTTAGACATCCAGGCCAAATCCTATTATAAGCAAGTCTTGGGATCTTGGATTTTTTTTTTTCCTGTACCCACTGAATAAATACAAAGACTACCTAGTCATTCTGGAACAAAACGATGGATGGAATTTTCCAAAGAGTAGATAAGGAAATTTTCTACAACTGAAGAAAGTATAGAAAATGTATTTTCAGACTGAAAACACACCTACTGACTGGCTACAGGAATAAATAAAAAAACAAGATGCCATGGTGAAATTTTAGAAAACAAGTACCAAAGAGATGGCTGAGTTTGTTCAGTTTTGGAGGTTTCAGTCCATGATCAAGTAGCTCTATTGCTCTGGCCTCTGAGGGGCAGCACATCACGGCAGGGATTTACAAAGCAGTAAGGCCCTTACACCTCCCTAACCAGAAGAGAAAAAGAGGAGAAAGGGATGAGAATCCCCCTATCACGCTCAAGGGCACACCCCCAATGGCAGAAGCCCTCCCCACTCGCCCCTAACTCTGACTGTTTCCACTAATGCCCACTAGCATGAGGCTTAGGAATAAGCCTTTAACACATGAGCTGTGGAGGTCAAGTAAGATTTAAATCACAGAAGAAGAGCTCATGGGCCTGGGATAGAAATAAAGTCACACAGTCAGTGAAGAGCATAAAACTGGTTCCCAAACTATTTTTTGTACCCAGCCATGCTGTGGCAGCCTGTTCCCCAATTTGACAGGCTCCTCCAACTAATGAAACTCAAGAAGTCTCTCTCAACTTCCCTCTTTAAAATGCTGCCAAGTATTGTTTTTCCTCCCCTCTATTGGTGATTCTGGGTCACAGTAACACTCAGACAAGGTCACAGAGCCAACAACAGTGCAAAGCAACAACAGCCTCTGAACAACATGTGGCCTGTGAGCTGACACACTGTCCCAATGTTCCAGAAGAGACAGGTACCCAGAATGGCCCAGGAAAGAGACTCTTTCTCACCAGGCAACTAAATGTATCCTGCTTATGACCCACTTTATTTAGACCTATTGATTAATGTATATACATTAATCATATGTTTCTTTTACAGCATTTTCAGCTATACAGGCAAACAAATACAATACAGTATAATATGATATAAATAGCATAATATATAATTATTCTTTGTAAATATTATTTTCCTTTCCAAGTAATGACCTCTTGAGTCTGTGATCTGCTCATTAAAGGTTAGCCTCCAAGAAAACGACCTCCAGAAATCTGATAAAATGAGTTGAGCACAGGTCTTGGTTCCTCACCTACTTCCCCTGGTTTTGTTTCTGTTTGCTGTTTGGGGATTTGGGGAACTCTAGCCACACTAGGGTAAAAGCTCATCCTTTCAGCAATTTTTAAAAATGTGTTTAAACACAAAGTTACAGTTATCCCTGAATTAAGGGAAGCCAGCATGCTTCCTTGATCTAATTCTAGGCTTTTACTGAAGACAAGGAGGAATTAAGGCAGTAAACGAAATACAATGAAATACATAAATGATAATACATAAATGAAATACATATTGGAACAGTGCAAAGATGTTTTTCTTTCAGATTATACTGAATTCATTTTAAGTGGTGTATTCAAAGATATGAGTCCCCTTTGGTATCTTTTTAATACCCTGCCTTTAAGAAGAAAAGCTTCACCTCATGTTCCAAACTCTTATCAGGCTGTTAACTTCCTGGAATGCATCGTGCATGTTCTCATCTTCATAATGTGGCTCACACAATCATCTTACCTGGAAAACCTCTGCAAAACGGTCTTCTAAGACAGCACACAGACTCTTGAAGCCATCTCCAGCCCCGACCAGTCAGAACTGACCACTCCACCCCTCTGTTTCTATGGCACTCCATGCCAGCCTCCGGCTGTGCACCAGAAGGGTCGTTTACACGTGTCCCGTGCCACTGAACAGGGACTTGAGGGCATAGGCACAGATTCATTTGTCTCTTCAAAACTTACCATTATGTCTCATCATAGAGAAACAGCTCAAATGCCAAACAGAGGGTTGTACCTCACACACACAAAAAACTAAGTTACATACATGTATTTAAATTATTAACAAACCATTCAAAAACAGCTAAATGCTGCCTACCTCTTTGGAACCTGGAACATTGCTATGATTTTTCTCCATTATCACCCATCTAAGAATATTTGGGATAGAGATGTTTTTCCATGTTGGCCATGGGTTAACAAATCTCCCATCTTTTCCTTTCTTCGATTTAGTTACATCTTCCTCTAGTCTGTAATCCAGTTTGAAGCTTTTCCTGGAAAACCTAGAAGACACACTTCCTTCTGAATTCTGTACTGAGTTTTGGCGCTTTCTTACTGTTTCTTTAGGATATTGGTAGCTTGTTGTTGGAGACTGGCTGTTTTCATTTTCATCCATGCCCTTGGGTGAGACGCTTTAAAAAGGAAAATAAAAAGGAAAAGGGAGATTACCAAGTTTAACAAAAAGCCATTAAAGTATATTAGACAGTATTATTCTCAGCCGGCAGTTCCTCAGCCTTATAAGGATATTACATCTGTATTAATTCAAAATCTCTTGCTGCAAAACACACTTTTAAGATCCAGCATTACACATGAACTCCGTTGCCTGCTTTCCAATCACTTCCCTCAGTTCTAATGTGATTTGATGTGCCGGGGGTGGGGGTGGGGACACAGATGGGGGGGGGGGAATAATGTCACAGGACTACCCTTTTCTGAGGAGTAGGGGAGGGGAGACAGGGGGAAAGAGAGGGAGGGTGGGGCTAGGAGGAGAGGAGGGAGGGGGCTATGATCGGGATGTAAAGTGAATAAAAATAACTTTAAAAAAGATCCAGTATTATTGCTTGCTAAAAAGAGAAAAGATGTCTGTCTTTCCTATAAACATGCTAGCCAAGCCTTTCAAAAATCCCTTCACTGTTGTAAGCTAAAACATTATTTCCCTAGCCAGCATTTAGACATAAAATTGTCTGTTTCAATGACTTTCTACAGAGTAAACAGAAGCACTATTATTATCTGGATAAAAAGCACACATACCCCTCCCCAAAAAAGGCTCAAGTGTTAGAAGCTTGGTTCCCAGCAGAGCTGTGGTCAGGGGTGGAGTGTCTGTGAGGTACCCAAATCGTGGGGTCTCTGCCTTCATCAACAAAGTGAATAACAGATGGATCCAAAATCTCAATGGACCACAAGAGCTGCAGCAATTGGGAAAACTGGGGCCTGCTAGGTCGAGGTGTGTAATGGAAAGTTTTGGTGTCTTTAAAAACTCAGTTATGTTATTGTAAACATGCTTTTGTTTTAATCCCAGGTGTGGCTATGCAGCTGCTGTAGACTGTCCACAGCAGCAAACTATTTGCCTCGTGCAGGCTCTGAGAAGGGCAAGATCTTTGCCAGCTGGGAGGGACTGGAGTAGAGAAGGGAGGTAGAGGCACAGGAAACATACATAAAATAGTTTTAAGAGGTACACGCCAGCAGAAGTGAGTGACAAGGGGTGGACACTGGGAAGGAGACCGTGTTCCTGCCTCTCCCTGGCCACCTCTGCTCCACCATGCCCTTTTGCCATGCTGTCGGCCTCCCCGCAGGCCCAGAAACATGGAGGCCTCTACCCTGGACCAAAACCTCTGCGAACCACAACAAAGACTTTCTCTTTTTAAATTGCTTCCCTCGGGCCCACGTCACAGAAAAAAAACAAAAGACCAACAGGAGCACCTTTCCGTATCCATATTTTTGTAACTACAAATGTTCTTAAGAGTAAAGAGCTTCTTAGTTTCCTAAAGATGTCTCAGCAATTCAAGTGTCTCACATAGAGCCCTGCTAAGACTCATTTTATACTAATGAAAATCTGTCTGTTGAGCCATCTCTCCAGCCCTCAAAATGCATATTATGAATGAAAAAAAAATGATCAGGTTGATAACTTATCACATATAATAACAGTATATAAGCCTTATGTGTTTGTGAGTCATTCAAGAAGAATGTGTGACTTATATAACTACATGCGAGATAACAACTACCTGCTCTCAATAAAGATGAGTATTAATCAAAAAAAAAAAAAAAGAAAGAAAGAAAGAAAAGAAAAGAAAGAAAGAAAATCTGTTACCTATTCCCCTAGACACTATGATGAGTCGACCTACCAAGGGAGGAGACAGCACATTAACTTAGTAACAACAAAAACTGTAAGTAATTCAGACTTAAAACTGCCAAGACACTGCAGTGCCCTAGCTTTTCGTAAATTCCCCACTTTTCCTTCACCTTGATTTTCCCGTCTGTAAAATGGAGATAAAGGCATGTTTGGCTCCTCGGGTTACTGAGAAGCCAATGAAAGCGCGTGGAGACTTAGGCTCACGCCAGCTCAGGGACGTTGGCTGCTCCCACTGCTCTGCCACTCTACCATCCATTGCCCATACTCAAGGCCCTGACATGCTGGGTTGTGAATTATGCAGGACTAGGGACATTTAGAAGTGGAAAATAGCACATTAAAAGCATGAAATCACTTTGAAGAGCTTCATTTCCGTCCTATTGATTGTACTAAGCAAACAAACACTTGCTTTCTAATTGGTTTAGGATCAATGCATACATAATTACACACCCTATAACTCTTTAAAAAAAAAAAAAAAAAAAAGCACAGATAACAGAAAACCAAATGTTATTTTCATGGCTGCAGGTATTTACAAAGATGTCTGAGGAAGTAAAGGAAAACGCCCCAGGAAAACATGTACATAGCCCAATTTTGTTTCTCTAATGTGAGGATAAATAGTCAACCATCTGGAGAATAATCACTGATGAAAAGAAACCGCAGCTAACAAAAGCCCAGGCACACAGCGCTGCTCAGCCACTGCTCGGCCACCGCTCTGCAGGAGAGCACCTGGCAGCTGAGAGAGGGGCGCTGGGCTTCCTGCCTTAGGCAGACAGCCTTTCTAGCCTTTTTCTCACCTGTAAAATACCTACGTACCCTTGGAGGTTTCAAAGGATTAGATGATATAATGTGCATTAAGTGCGTGGCAAACACAAACGCTAATTCTTTTTTTCTCTTAAGAGTGTTCTGGGCACGCTGGCGCCTCAGTTCTCACAGACTCACTTTTTATGTCTTCATATTTAGGTCTAGATTGAGGCTTTTACAAAAGCAAAGGCAGCTTCTAGCCGTTAAAATTCAGTTTGTTTATCAGACGAGGCAGGTCAGTTTAGATAGCTTACATCACTATACAGACAGATCGCACATCTCGTAAGAAGAGCTTGCCTCATGCTACCTTTTGAACAGCTTCTGAGATAGGCACTTTGCCACATATCTACTTACACCTCCCTATTTACACGCCTCTTAATATAGACGTTTATTGCAACTGTACTTAATAATTAAACATAGTTTTAAAAAAGAAAGCAGTATAAAGCAGAAAAGAATGAGTATTTTGCTTCAAAGACCAAAAAAACTACGTCTAAGTTAGGTTTAGGGGACAATACTTAGCAGTCTCACGTAGCTAGGACAAAGCTACGAAAGGTTCGTTCAGAAATGGAGCCTCCCTTTGCACCTGGACAGCCACAGGAGGAAGGTTTGTCTACACTGTCGGCTACCACAGAACACTGACAATGCTTAAAGAGGGTTCTTCAGGAAAGACAGCTCTGCTAACAGGAAACTAGAATCAGGGGTCTGGGTGTGGCGGCACACACCTTTGATCCCAGCACTTAGGAGGCAGAGACAGGTGGATTTCTGTGAGTTCAAAGCCAGCCTGGTCTATGTAACGAATTCCCGGACAAGGCTACATAAGAGAGAGACTCTGTCTCAAACAAAAATAAACAAACACCAACCCTGGAGCAAGAGGGGTGGATTACTGAGTAGAAAACTGAAACCTTAATATATATATGTGTGTGTGTGTGTGTATATATATATATATATATATTTTTTTTTTTTTTTTTAAATAATGCAGACAAAACAAAAGAGGAAGGCCCTGAGGGTTTCTCCTGCAAAAGTCAGCAATCAGAAAGGCTGGCGTTTCTGGCCCTGCCCGTGCTCCCCTTGCCTCCACACACCAGCCCTTCCCCTGTTTCTCCTGATGTGTTGGCTCCTACCATTAGGCAGCCAAATGCCTCGACAGGAATTTTACATGTGATTTTCTAGCACCTGTGGGATGGGAGAGGGGTGCAGGAAAATTAGCCGTCACAGGATTATCTGCTGCTTCTGTGGTGTCACGAAACATTAATGCTCACACTACACGCATGCAATCCTCTGCAAGAGAATGAGCAGAGAGGCAAAAAGAACTGAAGCCTGGCAGTCTGGAATGACTCTTTTGGAGGCAAAATCCTGAGAGGCCACTCAGTGAGAGCTGAGTCATACGAGAGGGCCTGGCCCTCTTCAACATCAGCCTCGGGTCACTCTGGTAGTAGCCACAGCAACATTCTCACAAAGGGCATCGTTGGACACTGGATGGAAGGACACAGAACTGGAAATGAGCTGTGTGTTGCAAAGCTCCAAACATAAACCTGTTGCCAAAGGGGTAATTACCCCATAGAGTAACCACCGAGTACTCTGAGTATTAATTGCCTCTTTAACAGCGGCAGGACTCAATCCCTACGTCTCTAACCAAAGGGGGTTCTGAACCATGACATCTGGTGAGGACAAGCCAGCCAAGTACAAATATTTTACTTCAATAACTGCACACATGGGTAAAATGCTTTCTAAAAACAAGAGTTCTCTATTTCAGAATTGTTTCATACATTTGACATTTAAGAGGTGCCAACTCCCTAGAACTGAATGTACTGTTTTATCATTTGAAAAGTAAGAAAAAAAAATCACAACAGTACAACGTATGTTTGGGGCGTCAACATTAGCATAAATTATGAAGCAGCAGATTAGAATTCCTACAACAGACATTTTATAAACATCGAGTGGCTATTATACAACAATAACACTAACGTTTCATCTGGAAAATATTCAGAATTATATTTTCAGATATCACGCTGAATAAAGCTGCACTTGCAATTTTTTATTTGTTTACCTTATCTTTATTTTACTACAATGCTAGATAACATAGGTTTAAAAAATAACAGCATCCCAGTTCTCTGAAATGTCATAAAGAAATTGAACTCGAATGAACTCTACCCATCCCTGAAATTCACTAAGACTCCATGAGCAATCCCTACAGACACAGAGAAAGCTGAGGTGACGGCAAATATATCCAAGCCTGGGAACTATGCTGTATACCAAGGGGACAGTGCTCTGTGTGAAGATCATTAAGGAATTATATAATAGCCACAGCTATTTCATTTACATATATACATATAATACATATAAATATATATGCATCTATACATATGTCAAGTGGCATTGTAACAAAAGAGACAAGAACCCAGGCTTCTGGTTTTAAACATCAAGTCCTCTTTGCAATACTCAAATGAACAGATGACACCACAGGCTAGTACTCTGAAGTGCCAAACA